GTGGATTTTGTACCCCTAAATCATTTTGTACCCCCTTCTACCCCCGAATTGTTGTACCCTCCGAATTATGTGCCCAGAGAATTCGTCATCGGAAGATTCCAGGCGGATATAAAAACTCTAACCAGACTATATTCAAATAGTCAAACAAACTGTTTAGATCTACATATCTTTTGTTTTTCAACTCCCATCTTCTGATGTATCCCGTCATTATCTGAATCCTATAACGAATTCAATCTTTCTCGCCAACACCAACACACGCACTAATTTTACATTGAATGCATTTTTCATCGTCTCATCTCCTAGAAAAATCGCACAACACAATTCAGGATCTGATTTAAATGCGATAGATTCTATTTTTCCACAGAAAATCTGCCTCAAGCTACACGGAGATGGAAGAAAATCGTATTCTATTTAGAAAAATCAGTACGAAATCTTGCGACATTCTGGAAAACAACAGAGATCCGTGTAGGCGATCGGGATTGTCTTTTTTCGGGAGAGAGAGCAGGTGGCCAAAACACAAGAGACATAGAAAAATCGGAGGACAAATTGAGAGAAGATCTAGTACACTTTCGAAGGATAAAATCTTTTTGAACATTTTTTGTCGAGTTTGATGACTGTGCTCCAAACTTTGAAACTCGAAGAAACGAGGACACTGCTGAAAGTTCTCTCTGGCCTACAGTACCTGACAAAAGTATTATGGGCTTTCAACGTTGTTCTGAATTTTTAGTGGAAAACAGTCACCGTTACATGGCCAAACTATCAACAATAATTTCAGAAATTTCGGTTTAGCTTGATGTTTTCGAAGCAATTTCTTCTGAAAGGCTATTTAATTTATACAGTCAATAAGATGTACTTTTCGGTTGATTTTCGGTCATTTTGACCATTTTCAGAAGAGTCTCGGTTGTCAACTTTCCGATAACTTAAAAAATTTTGGAGGGTGTAACACAGACCTAGATTGAAAACTTTCCATTCCCAGAATTTCTTTAATTCACAGTTTTTCAGCTATTTGCCGATTCCTTAAAGACACTCCTTTTGGAACCGTTTTTGTACTGAAAACATGAAAAAAATCAGGTGTCTTCCAGAAATCGGCCAGTAGCTGAAAAACTAGGAAATTCCAAAAATTTCTGCGAATTCAAAGTATTCAATCTAGGTCCGTTTTACACTCTCCAAAATTTTCGAAGTTATCGAAAACTTGACAGCCGAGATCTAGGTTTCTGAAAATGATCTAAATGGACGAAAATCCACTGAAAAATACGTTTTTGTATATCTTATATTATTGACCGGTACTGTAAGTGGATTTGTATGTCTTGTATTGTATTCTCATTGTCTTTTTTATTGTGAAAATAATATTCAATTAAATTTAAAAGTTTATATATGAGTCGAGAAGGGGGGAGTTAACCCGATATTGTTTTTTGTTTCAGAAAAAATCACAAACGAAATATGTGGAGATTTAAAAAAAAAGCAGAAAGTCATAAGCTTTGTTTTCTGAGGAAAGAGAGGGGAGAAAAGTCAAATCGATAAAAAAGTAGAGCTAGAAAAGAGTTATAGAGAAAAAACGAAACCAACAGAGAAAAAGAAAAAAGAGATCAGTCAGGAAAAAAAAGAACAAAACAAAAGGATAATTTGAGAATATTAATATAATTTTGATGATTGCGGTTCTTTTAGGAAGAGCACATTAAAAGTAAAGCAGACCAATCTAGGTGAAAGGAAAGAAAGAAAATGGAGAGAGAACGAGAAAAAAGCCCTAACTGATTTAGATATCATATTTTATGTAAAACAAGAGAAAATGGATTTGAGAAAAAAAGTACCTGCTGAATATGGGAGGATTTTGTATATCGTAACCGTTTGAGGTTTTCGTATATAACTATGAAAAATAAAGGAAAAACGAGGTATTTTTTTGGGTTTTGTCATTTTTGTTTCGAAGAAGGAGGAATACGGGAAAGTATAAAAAAGTTAAAATCAATAAATTAATATTCCCGAAAGTGTGGAGAGAAAAAACGAAAAGAGAGAGAGAGAGAGAGAGAGAGAGAGAGAGAGAGAGAGAGAGAGAGAGAGAAGAGCAAGAAAACCAATAGATGTGGAAGTTTGAAGACTAATACATTCTACAGAATACGGGTAAATATGACAAAGTTGGGTATGATGGTTGATGTGCTCATCGCTGCTACTTAATCACTCATTGATGACTCGGTTGAGAGCATTCTCTTCTCTAAACTGCAGATACAGTCGATGAACATTTGGAAGTTCGGATGGTTGCGTGATGGTGCATCGGGAGAAATCCACAAATTCTGATATCCGATTGTTTCTGGTACCATGTCCTTCACTTTGATCTCTGGTGGTGATTGGGATCCGTTGGCGGTGAGGGAGCAGGCTGCTGAAAATCAAAAAATTTAGAAAAGTTCATGTTTTATGAAAAACCCGTTCCAATGATTATGATTTTTATAAAATCACACGAAAGAAAAAAAACTGATAAGGAAATTCCAATGAACATTAAAAATCAAACTCACTATCAAACATGTGTGGCGTCAGTTTCGGAGCCGCATCAGTAGCCAAAATTGGGCTGTTGGTGGTGACCGCAATATTCAAATCGTTGAGTTGAGAAACTGCTGGATTGACAATGGATCCATCGTTAGAGATCTTTCTCTCGATGTCATCAAATTGGAACATTCCCGTGGATGGAGCGACTTGTGGAGTCAATAGAATAGAGCTTCCATCCATGCTCGCAGAAGTGTAGGTAGGATTCGGAGGGATCGAGAAATTTTGAAACAATCCACTATTTTCAAAGAGCGTTGGAGTTGGAGCAGTGGTGACAGCAACCTCTCCTCCATTGAAGATCTTTCTAATAGCCTCGATGGTCTCTGGAGTCAATAACGAGAAATCTGTCAAGTTGATTGGAATGGTTTGCCCATTAATACCAATTGGTGGTGGAGACTGTTCCAATCTGATTCCTTGTTGTGCCAAAGCCTGTTGAACATTTCTGGCTTGTTCCACAATTTGTGGTGTTCCTCCATTCTTTCTATCTAGTTCCTGATCTGATTGACTTCTTTTTACTTGAAATGGATTTTGAGAATTTCCAGAATCCGGAATAGCAGTGGCTGGTGGTGTAGTATTTTGGTATGCACCGACATCCATTTGCGCTTCTGGATTTGTGTTCCCATTTTGATTTTTGTTGTTGAAATGAATCGTCACGGCGTCCCTTTCTGGAAGATTCTTTTGAATATGATGTCATCATAAACTCTGAAACTTACCATCGATGTTTTTAGGAAAAACTCTCAATCTGGTGTTTCCATTCTTGAAATGCACTGGTTTCAGAACCAATCCTCCTTCCAGAGTTCTGGTACGATATCTTCTAATAATCGCATTAGCTCTCATAGACATCACATTTGTGCATGTTTTACAACTGCAGTTATTGAATGGGCATCTGCTTGCATGTCCCTTTAAAACAACTTGTTGTCCGTGGCCCTCGCATTTGCGGCAGAAAAGAGTTCGGTTTGATGATCGAGCCGCACCCTGAAATCACAATAATTGAATTAATTCTCTAACTGGCTTTCTGAATTTCTGCTAATTTTTCATCATTACATGACGTCTACAGTTGTTTCTCAATTTTTGCAATTGCCCTTGTTTATGTTATTGTTCAATTTTATTCTCTTCCATCTTTTTCCTTTTTTTTTCAAAAACAATAACATCGATTACAGTATGATTCTTGACCCGATTGAGTACATCATGGACTCGGCAATATTTTTGTTTTTTTGAGAAAAAAAAGACGAACGAAAATCAGCCGTTTTTAGTCGGGTGTCCTCTTTGAAAGGTGAATTATTCATAGTTTTTGGCAACGATAAGAAGAAGGCTTTTTCCTAGAAAACTCAAAAGTGCGAGAATACTTTTAGAAGCTCTTGAGAATATGAGAATACAGTTGCGAAATGTTCTGGATCTTTAAAGTCATCGACGGATCCTGTGCTTTTGTGAAGTACTCACCCCGCAGGTCAGGCCTCCAATATGATGTCGTTGAAGAACTTCCTGTCGAACCTCTTCAATCGTATGATCGACATCAGATGTGAGCAATTGCGCTTCTAATACAACTTGAGTTCCTTGTGGTAGCGGGACGACGATTTCGCTGAAAGACCATGAACTGAAGTTACAGTAATCCCAATTCGGCCATTTTTATTATGTTTGTACATGGAGATTGGAGATCAAATTGAGACAACCATTGTAAATACAGCACTAGTCTTTTTTTTCTCTTTTTCCCCATCGCAAAGTCTACCAAATAACACTAAAACGTTTTGGGGTTGAGGTGAGTGACACAACAGAGATCTGGTTTTTTTTCGACTCAATCGCTTTTCTCCCTCTCTCAATTTTCGAAAAACTTTGCCTCTCCTTCATTTTTATTGATCGCGAGATCGACGCGGAAGATCGGGAAAATGCATAAAATGAGATAGATATGACATCACTACACGTACCTCATTCTCCGGAAAAGCAAGATTCAGAAGACGATGCAACAACGACCAAACGAAAAATATTCGTCCGTGGAAGAGCGCAGGATCCACGGGGGTGGCGTTGCAAGGAAGCGACCACGAGCGGCCCCAAAAGGGCAGGCCCTGAAAATCACAGTTTGAAAAACGATAAGAAAGAATAAAAATAAGGAAGAATAGACAACAATCGGACGAGAGAGGAGAATGAAAACATTCTTTAAAGTCGAATCATGTTTGAAAGAAAGGGTTACTGTAAGGGGAGGAATACAAAAAAGAGGTGGTCTTTTCTTCCTGACCACCTGCTTTTAATGGCTGACAAACATGAAAATGTAGAAATAGAGACACAGAAACACGTGATGATCAATGCAGATGATTACAATGATTTTCAAAGATTGTTCCCGCCCTTTTAATAGTGCCCAACTGAATTCAAACATCATGACAATACAAGGAAAAGGGGCGAATTGTGAGAAGAATTGAAAAGAGAATGGAATGTTGATATGACCCATCCAACCACCCCGACGATGCAAAACGTATAAATTATTGCCATATTATGTCAACAACTTGACATTGAAAATTCGAAAAACGAACATTATTGAACGGGGCGAAAAATTTCTAAATGTTGAAATTTCAAACTCTATCAGACACCGAGTAAATAGACAATCCTCTAACACGAACCTAAAAATAAAAGAATAAAAATAATTTCTCAATGATCGAATCAAAAATCAGTACCATAAGCTCTGAGCAAATCGATATTCGGCAAACATTTGGTTTGGTTTTTTGATGATTTGCTTTCATTTTCTGTGCTCTGGCTCGGTTTCTCCAAACACATTGATTCTCTAAGAAGCACTCTTCCCTTGCTCCTATCGCTAAGGTTCTTTTTTCTAGAACAACTGTTGTTATTGATGAAGCAATCAATCTTTGAATCCATGTGGAATGAGACAAAGTGCGCTCAATGAAAGTCAAAAATCACGAGCAAGCCTTCCGGGAAGTGTTTTCGTTTTTCTCATTTTTTCGATTGCTGAGTCTTGACTTTTTTCGAGAAAAATCAAGAGAAAAATGTGAAAGATGAAGTGACATTGTCTATAAATAACATTGAGCAAAATGAAACGATTTTTAGATAACGAATGAAATTACTGTCTAAAAATAGGCAACTTTTAAAATTGAATAGTATCGTAGTAGATCACTGATCTCACTGTTCATTCACCAAATAGGAAAAAAAACTAGTTGGGTGACCATTAAAAGTCCAATGGGATGAAAGGGGCCCAATTGACCGTATTCAATCAAAATCATTAGCCAGTTTCGTTGTCCTTTGGGTCCACAGTTCATTGAATCATTCAATGATAACCCAATTCTCCGTTCCAGACCGATCAAAGATGGACGGTGCGAAAAAGCGAATCAAACGAGTCCGTATTCCTTTTACGACACAACATCAGCAGCAGATAACATTTTTCTTCTTGTGATTTATCATCCCTATCTAATCTTTCTTTCTATCTTCTTCTTTTTCTTTTTGCCTCCACGATTCCAAAGAACTGTCATTTTGATGGGTAATGTGATAGGGAGGATATGATAACGAATACTGTACAGAGAAGGATATGGAACAAGAAGAAGAAGATAGAACATAAAATCACGAGTATTAGACGAGCATACAATCTTTCACTTTCTTCTTCTTACCATTCCATCTGAACCTTTTGCACCGAAAACGTGCGGTTTCAAACCTAAACAGGAGAGGTTATTTAGGCTCCACCCTTTTTCGAAAAGGACTGCGTTTAAGTTTTTAGTTATAAATGTTTAATGACAGACGAGACGAAGAGTACGAAGAAGAAAAGATTTGGAAACAATGCTCAACACGATAAGAACGCAATAAGTTGAAAAGTAGAGATGGCATGTTCTACAGTGACGAAATATTTCAATAGGAGAAGAATTTTGAAAGAGGAGAATATTGTTTGAAGAGAAAGTTTTGAAAGAATGAACAAAAAACCAGCAAAGAGCAAAGTAACAGAAAACTCCCCACTCGAGTCGGAGAACAGTAATTCAATGAGTATGTAGTTTGTTGGGAAGTCACTTCAGAGACAAAGAACGAGAACATTTTGGAAGAGTCTAGTCCGAATCGCACAGTTGGCATACATCAGGCTGGCTCTCGGATGTCAAATTACTATTCAAGACCATCCTCCATTATTTTTACGAAAAGATAGAAATACACAATTCAAGAAATTAAGGTTTAGTAGTTATCAAGAGATACCATGGAGTCGAGAAGTCTCGAAGATGACAGTAAAGAAGAGTGTATCTCTATTTAGGCTTTTAAAAACAAATACAGTAACCTTACTTCAAGACTTTAATGAATGGGAAAGATAGACATTATAGAAAAAACAGGATGAAAAATTTCGAAAAATTGAAATTTTTTGGAATTTCAATAGTCGCATAGATGAAATGCGTACATTGGGGGTCCAAGAGGAAAAAGAAAAGAGAGGAGGCAAACTGAGGCCTAGGCGGAGTCGAGACGAGATGGATGGACGTAGGGACAGTGTCGGAGGATGAAAAGAACACGAGACGACAGTGAAAGATGGAAAAAGGCGGTGCAGAGTGGGTGCATTGTGTACTTGCGGCACACATACAATGATGACAAGACGCAGACACGACAATCGTTTGAATATGAAAGAAGTCGCTTGTCTCTTGATTCTGACTGATTCTTCTCTCTCCGATGCTCCTCCCACATCGCCTTCTTCGACTTCTGTTGATGATGGGAAAAGAAGAAGAAGAAGGTGTCCAAAATCTACAAGGGGGACGAAAGATTTGATTAGTGTGTAGGCAATGAATGGGCCGACTGATGACTGAGATTGCTAGATAAAGAAGATATGAAAAGAAGAACAAGGTGGTTGATACGGTGGAGTGATGCAAAGGAAAGAACCTCAAAGGAGGTGGAGAGAAGAAGACGTTGAAGGCGTCGGCTTCAAGGTTAACACTATCACTAATACACACGCGGTGTGAGTGCATTCGGGAAATTCCCTGTTAGCAATTCAATGGAAAAATGCGGAGACATAAGGAAGAAGAACTGGTGGTATGATCCAACAATTTTTGAGCTGTATAAACAATAATAAGAACAATGGAATATGAGAAAGAAATTATCTTCTTTTTCCTGTTCCCATAAATGCTCTAGATGTGACAGCTACGATTCTGATGGTTGAGGATATATTATGGATCCCTACAAAATTTCAACCACGTCATTATTCTGTAAGATCACAAACGAGCACACATTCCGTGATTCTGATTTATAGAGCTTCCCTATCAAAAACATCATTATCATCATCATCACCGTAATCCTGTCTGTGTGATGTGTCATGGTACTAGAACATTCTCTCTCTGGAATGAAATGTTGATCAGGAAGCCTTTGAAGCCACGTTCTAGGAGATTAGCCGAATTTTGAAATGCAGTTTTGAAATCTGATTTTCCTGATGTAACAGGTTTCCAATCCGGTTAATCTCAGTGCGCAGTAAAAGAATCAGACGAAATTTCATAGAGTAAGTTCAAAGAATGGAATGAGAATGTTTCGCACGTCGGTGTGTGTTTTTTTTGGTGCCAGCTGCATTTTTCTAACTGGTTTTATATTTCAGATCGAACAATTTTGGTGACCTTCAGAGGAAAAATCTTACAGAATCTGATCAGACTCTGAACAGAATTTCCTAACTGTTACAGTAATCTCCCTATTACCAAAAGGCACAAAAAAGAATTAAAAGCTACAGAGAACAAATCTATAGTACATTTCATAACACACTCGTTCTTATTCTAGCTACTCAACTGATTATATGATTATTACACTGTGAAGGTTTTTTTGACAGCTTTCACAGTTTCATGTAGCAGTGAGATCAGTCACGATTCCATTTTTTACTATGAAAACGAATTTGAAGATCTTGAGGGCTGAACAAAATCTGAACGTAAACAGTTACCCAGACAGATAACGATAGGCTTCCGATGTGCTCACATCCCAAGTTAATTACCGTAATTGCGATGCGAGAATACAGGCTATGTGCTTCCGTCGTATTTTTGCCGATTTTCAGACAAAAACAATAATAAATGAGTCTAGAATTTTTAGAATTCTTCTTTTAACACATAGATCCTAGTGGGTGCAAACAGATACATATGCACCCAGAATAGGAGGGACTTGAGCTATTTTCTCTGTTCTTTGCAAATCGCACGTTGCTCTTTCTCCTTTTCATCTGCCCTCCGTATTTCCCTCCTTTTCTACTCGCTGTTTCCTTTTTTCCAGTTCCTCGTCATGTCACATTTGACGTACTTTGCGCTTGGCTCTATATGACTAACCACCTCGACTCATTTTCTAAATATGTACATGTCTCGGCAACAAGTGGTAAACAAGTTTTTCGTTTTTCTGAGAAAACTGAAACTAGAAAAAAATACGGAAGAGGAAAAATTGTGTGTAGATGTCGTTGACGACGTGGAAGCCAGAGTGCGAGGAAGGGATTGGCAATCAAATTAAATGCAGTCACTGAGTTTGTTTTCGGAGCAACGCGCACCCCAGTGGCTAGCTTACGACGACGGAAAAAGACGGGCAAAGATCGTTGGAAGGTGAGCAGCACAGCAAGAGAGCAGAGAAACAAATGAAGTCGGGCTCGGAAAGAAAAATGTACTGAGAGCCAGAGAGAAAAAAGAGCACGTCCAAAAAATCATTGTGGAAGGAAGAAGGAAAAACGGAAAAATGAAACATGTTTGAGAGGGGGACAGAAGGGGAGAGAGATCAAAATGTTGAAATACGAATTTTGAAAAAGAAAAAAAAAAGTTGAAGATTATACAATGGGAAGTACGGCGCTCATGGGAATCAAGATACTGTAAACACTCTAAAAGGACGCTCCCAAATCGTCAACTTTGAGCCCGTTCATCTCATTTCCTGTGAAAGACGTAGAGAACTGGTCAGCTGACAAAGTGTTGATTATGTTATCAAAAATATTTTGATAGTTGACCACATTTTGATATTTTTCACAGGAACCGAGATAATTTGGCTCAAAGTTGAAATTTGGGGTGACATTCTATTAGAGGGTTTATGGTAATCAGAAATCAAAGAGAACAATCATTGAATAGGGAAGAAAAAAATCAGCACGGCTAAATTGGAACCCAATTTTGCAGTTCTGAGATCAACAGGATAATGATAGTTTAAAGCCAAAATAGAGTCCTTTAAAAAATTGATGAGAATTTCAGATCTCAAATCAGGCGAAAACGTTCTCTAAATCACATTCGAATAGTCGTGGTTTCAACTATCCGACCGAAAAAACACCTTGAGCTCAGATGACGTTATTTGTGGAAGTGGTAAAATCCTGAGCTTAGCAGACCGTAAGAGCTAGCGATGCTTCACTGAAAAATCAGATTTAGCATAAAGAAGCTCAAAAAATAGGATTCTTGTAATGTAAAAAAAAACATTTTCAACATCAGGAACATGGATTTAGGGAAATTTTCTAATTGGAGATAGTTATTCAAAGATATGAAGGTATGCTATCGCGCCCTTTGGGTACATACAAACCCGATTGATTTTTCACTTGTGTACCTCTGTTTCATTCTTCTCTCCGGCTTTCAAATGCTCTCTAATCGTATAACTTTTATGATCTGCGGCTGCGAAAATTGAATCGTCGAAACGAAACGTGCGCTTCATCATAGAAGATAAGGCTGGCGAGCTGTCGATCACAGCGGGTACACATCGCCACCCCCAATCACTTTCAAAAGTTTCTCTTTCTCTTTTTATCGATAAGCTTTTCCTCTCTCTTCTCTCCCTCTTTTTCATTTCGTCTATCGACCACAATCGACCAAACACACTGACTTTTTTTTGTGAAAACTTCAGAGGGAAACTCACAAAATGTTTCAACTTTTTGCCATGTGTTCTTTTTTCCAAGTATTCATTGTATGTTCGCATCGGAAAAAGACAAGGTGCGTGGTGTAAAACTAGAACAATAGATCAGACTATAGACTTTGAGAAGTGACTGTCGAAATGAGAAAGATGGGAGACGAGAGAATAAGAAATAGAGAAAAACATTGGGGTGCAGATTGTTGTGGAAACAAGAAAATATGTGAAGAAATCAGCTGGCCAAAAGGGACACTGTCTGCTGATGATAATACAGGCGGAAAGATGAAAAACTTGATTAACACTGTACACAATAAAGAAAACTAGTTGATAACGAAATGGTGACAGGCTTCGTCTTACTTTTTAAACTGTAATTTATTTGTTATTTGAAACCACAATGGAGAGATTGGCAGAAAATGCAAGTCATGGAAATCATACTTGTAAACATGGCCGCAGAAGGACCGCTACGGCCCAGTTTACAAGTATGCAAAATGATAGTTTCAGCTTGCTTGTAGTTTCATAAGTACTATTCGATAGCGTTTTAGTTCTTCTAGAAGTTTTGTGTAAGACTATTCGAAAAGAATTTCATAATAGCCATGCCAAAATATAGGTTTCTCGATAAAATCGCACTGTAGCCTGCACACAAATCTGAGCAATTTCCGACTATCTGAAGATTTACTTCTAGAAAAATGATCATCATGATATCAAAATGACTCAAAAAATTCAGATTTCCAGACAGACACTAATCTACGCGTGTTTTTCTAAGATTCTTTTCTCGTTTTCAATTTCTGTTACACCTTCCTTCCTCGTTCTTCGTTCTGCTTGATGTCTGTCTACGAAAACACCTGTGATTAGATGTGTCTCGACTCAAAATACACATTTTGTACCGAGTACTTTCGATATTTGGAAGCCCATTTATGTTATTTTTCAGAAATTTTATAAAAATGACGACTAATTTGGGGTTGTTCATAGTAATTCAGCTAGAACAAGAAAAGAAAAGATCAGTCAGAGTTAGAATAGATCGAACGAAATAATGCTCTGATTTCTTGGTCTTTTTTGGAAGTTCGAAAATACCAAAGGTCGGCTGAATGACTAACAAACAATTTCATCTCAAAACAAATGAATGTGTTACTGTATGACATCAGAAGAGAACCCAGACGAATGAAAATGGCAGTAACAACCTGGTACACGAGGGTGATAACTTTTCTTGCAAAAGTGATTTGATCTAGATTAAAGTCTATCAATTCTTACTAGAATTGAGAAGTGATCGCAAAACGTTATTGTTTAATGAATGATCTTTGAAATGATGTGTTCTTGATCATATACTCCTCGTCTAGCGAACGAAGGATCCGAAAAACAAACAGAGGGATTTTCAAAGACTCTTGAGTGGATCACAGCAGTTTCCCCAATTACGGTAGTTGCGGGATCACTGATTTGATGAAAAAGCCTAATTGAGTTGAGTAGAGAATAGATTTGCAGCAGTTTTATATTTTCAAAGTTTCAAAATTTCTTACTCTAGTTCTTCTCTTTGACAAATGACACACAGTGGGAGGGAGGAGTACTTTTTTGATCTTTTCCCTTCAATTTTTTCCACACGTGCATCCCACGAGCGTTTTCGCGTCAATTCGAGGAGAAAGACACAGTTTTACAGTAAGCCATCACTCTCCCTCTGGTTTTTACATCTGATCAAATAAACACCCTTCAATACATTTGTGACGCTTTTGCGCCGATCGCGCACCGCATACATACAGGCACCGCCCGCAACACATTTTGTACGTACTTTGGACATCTCATATTTACTGTATAGTTTAACGAAATTGTTAGGTATGAAATGTATACATGCTGCTATATGAATGGGATCGGGAGTTGGTCTATGGAACAGTTTGCTTTCGGAAGATGTATCGTGCACATTGAAATCCAAAACAGAAGTTTTTGAGTGTCTTTTCCTAATTCCCTTTCATCGTAACAAATCTGACGTTGTAAATCGGAGGCCAGAATGTTTGAACTTTCAAAGGCTTCCTTCTTCTTCGTCTTTGTTCCGATTCGTCGACAATCGATGTAAAGACAGATTGATAGGCTTCAGCGGATGTCGTATCTTTCCCCTATTTATTTTCTCATTTTCACTCCCTTAACACAACGTTTATCATGAATCGAAACGCACCACAAACGCACTCAAAAACGAGTAGAGATTCTCTCCACTATTACACGCCGTCTGTGGCCGATTAGTGAGACTGTCGCCCCGATCCCATTTTTGCATAGAACATAAAAATGTCAGAATATACAAGTAGGAAAGAAGAGAAGATAAATGAAGACAAATTTTTAGTGTGAGAGAGTACGGTATTGTACAAAAAATCATGTTGGAGGAGATAGGGGAAAGGCGGAAAGAAATCGACGGGCGCTTAGTCGTGTCGATAAAACGGGCCAGCTAATCAAACGAGAAAATGCGATTGTCTGTGCAAAATGGGTACATTTGTGAAAGGCACGTAGCAAGAATTCGAAAAATAGACGATCATTGAAACAGGTGAAATATTTCGAAAATTGGATTTTGTCTAGTTATATAGGGGTCGAAAAAATTGAAAAGAAGAAAAGAAACCATCCTGCAGCTGTGTATCAAAAGTTTTGATTCAAGACTATCTCCTCTTCCCATTTTATACTTGCAATTCACAGCGCTTTCCGATACTTTGAACATGCAACTTTCGAAAATTGAAAAAGAATTGTTTGATGGTCAGTTGATAAGAAGTGATTTTCAAAGTGAATTTTTATGATAATTGAAAATGTTCGATGGACAACTGAAGAGCTAAATATGATGTGATACTTCAGGCACAAGATTCTCAAGAATCCTGTTTTTCTTATTTTAAATCTTATAGTATTCGTAACTAATCTCTTTAGTAAATCTAAAACTACAAGGCACTAAAGTCATGATTTTCCCATATTCCAAATTAAAACACAACTGATTAGATTGAAGAACATTTTGCTCAAACTCTGACATTTATTGGCAACATATCACCATTTTTATTATCAAGCGAACTTTAGTCTCTGATAAAACATAAACTGTTTAAGTACTCTGATGAAAATTTTCTATACTTGGGGGTTAGTTGAGACTAAAATATTATTTTTTCAAAAGAGGTGACCCAAAAAGGTTTTTGAATGATTCAAGTATCGATTTCCGTCAATGAGCTCTCAGCTGTCCACAGTTCAATATGTCACTTTTAATCCTGGTATTCTGCATTTCGTTAAGTGTTTATCGTCTGAAAAATCATCAGAGAGAAAAACACACTGATCCAGTTTATGGTCGGATGACGTCCACATCCAACTTCTGAACTTTTCACCGGTGGTCGATCAATCCTCTCACTATCTCCTCCCACACTTTTTTCTTCAATGCTGTGGTGGCCTCAATCACAATCACACTAGGAAAAATATGAAAAAAAAACATGAGACTATAAAATTGAAGGCAAAAAACAAGTTGTTCTTCCGCTTTTCTTAGGTACACCATGCACCTAAATTTGTCCATCTTTCTCTTCTTCTTCTTTCTTTTTCTTTTAATGATTTTCATTATCAATCATGGCGGGCTTTCACACGGTACGACGAAGAAGGAAGGCGTACTCGATCATTTTGGTAGGTCAAAGAGTTAAAAGGTAGATGGGATGAAAAGAAGAAGAAGACACTTTGAAGTGTTTCGAGGGAGAATCATCGGAACAGAATTAGCATACACTGCACCCAATATGGATTAGCATAGAATTTGATTAAGGTTAAAATATTTTACACTACTGCAGTTGCAGGAAATGTATTTTGAAATTAGATGCATTTAGGGACGGAAACTTACGAAATTAAAATTTTAATCTCACAAAAAGCATATATGTTGCATTATGAACCAATCCGGGAAATTCGATTAGCTTAGTGAATGCTTCGAACGAAATGTTATGAGTATCGTAAAACTTGTATTAGAAGGGCATCTTTAATAGAAAGGCCCCTGTAATAGAACCCTCTTTAAAGTGTGTTGTTTGAAATTAGATCTTTCCGTACGGTTCAGTGATTCCGGAAGTTTCAAAATTTTACAGAAGTTTTTTGTTCAAAAGTTTAATTTTGGTAAAGCTGTTGGATTTTCATGAATTTTGAACGAAAATTCGTTTAATTTTTTGATAAAATTCTCGAAAAAAATGGATGGAAAAGTAGAACGAAACAGAGAAAAAAAAATTTGAAGCTTCAAAAAATTTCAGAGAAAAAAAAATTCAATTTTAAACAGCCATGGACCGAGCCGCTAAAACTGTAATGTAATAGGTCAAACTCAAGAATAATTCGAGAAAACAAAGCCTAAAGATACAACATGTAACCTTTCTATTTTAAAATAACATCACTTTTTCTGATCTGAACTTAACATTCTCTATTTAAATCTACTTTACTTTCCAAATCAGATTTGTTTATCCGCTGATTTTGTACATTTTATCCTATCAAACCCAAATTGCACCAAAATTTCTTCATAAACAAAATTATATAGTTTTTCATTCACAGCTCAGAAAACAAACTCAATAAGAATATTTATGTACTTTTCGAAAACGAAATCGCGTTCTTTCAATCATCACATATTCACGCTATTTTCAATGATCATATCCACTGCCTCGACAAACGAGTTGGCTACATTTTTGACTTTCGACTCGTCTCCTGAAAATTAGAAATTATAAAAAAAGGAGATTACAAAAATAACACACCATCTCGGAATTTACCAGTTTTCACCAAAATCGAACGCATTCCAACTTCGTTCGCACCGAGAGCGTCGTCATTAACATCATCTCCGATCATAACGGCTGTTGAGAAGTCCACATTGTCCTGGAGAGTCTTCAGTGCAGATTCGAAGAACAACTTGTTTGGTTTTCCTACCACTGTCGCCTAAAATAATACATCTTGATTGACTCCAAAAAGATTTTAACGTTTTTACTTCAACTCCAGCAGCATATTCTAAGCCAGCAACATAAGCACCTGGACCAAGATGAAGACCGTCTTTCTTTTGATGATACCGACCTTTGTTGATAGCAATCAAAGACGCATTCCCTGAAAAAATAGTAATTTTCAGGCATTCATAACAAAACTCACTTTCTTTAATCAGTCGAAATGCTTGCGTCATTGTCGCATCATTGAATTTTTCCGGTGCTAGCCCAATCACGACTGCATTCGGATCATCTGTAGAGATTCCTGAACAACACATTTGACCTTTTTGATGAAAATCCCAAAAAACCTTCAAAATCTTCCATCGCTCTGTCATCCACAATGAAAAACGGGCGGTAATGATTTCTGACGATGAGATCTCGAGCGGCATTCAAACTAGTGAAAATCTCATTCTTCTCAATATTGAATCCACATTTGATCATACGCCGATGCAGCAAACTCTGCGACTCCTGAAAATATTTTTCTCTTAACGATCTTTGAAGTTAAGGATTACCTTGGTGGTGTTGGTGACAAATTTTACTTGAGCATGTTGTCGAAGCAGCTCCAGAGCTGCTTGTGATCCTGGGATAGCTAGGTCTTCAATGTGAAGAGTTCCACTCAAATCAATTAGAACAGCTGTGATTTTTGACATTTGTTATCTAAAAACAAATGATGATATTTTTGGAAGTTGAAAGAGGAATAGAAGTCTAGAATAATAACGATGAGAAAAAACAAACGAAAGAAAAGATTGCAAAAGTTCATGAGAAGGGAAGTTGGGGTTATTGAAAAGATAAAACAGCCTACTGAAAACAATACAACAGTTTTTTGACAAATTTTTAGTAAGCCAAAAACAAAATCGTAGGAAAAGCAAGTTCTTTCTATTTGGATTATTTGGAGGCATCTTCTTTCTGTTTTCAGATGCTTATATAGAGATTCTCGAAGTTGGAAATCAATGTCGTCAAAATGAAAAAAAAAACTGGCTCCTGAAAGTCTAAGAGCCGCCACTTGTTTTGATCTACTAGGCGTCGCGGCAAAACTGTAATATTTCAACCTCGTTTCTGTTATAAATCTGACAAATGAAAATACAGGTGAAAAATAGAAAGAAAATTTATTCCATGTATTGGAATCGATTGATCTATGAAGGATGACCATAACAGTTTTTTCAATGAATGATAATAATAGGTCATTTTTTAACTGTGAAGAATGGTTTGGAACATTTTTGTTTTTAAAGAAATATGATAAGAGTTTTTTCGAACGAAATTTAAAAAGAAAAATATGTCAAATCAAGGAAAATTAGTTTGAACAAGTATGTCAAACCTCGCGATGGGTTTGCAAATTCGCTCTGTTGCACACATGATAAATGGGGCGAATGTAAGGTTGTTTGAATCACACTTTGAAATAGAGATATTGCGAAATATGCAGAAATTGTTGTAATCTGGTGAAATGATCCAGCTCGATTATAAACCAACCGTATTGCTTTAAGATTTTTCAGTTTTCTATGGAGAATTTTCATATTTTCCCGAGTTATTTTTTTTAATTGTTAACAAAAAGCCTTTTGATAGATTAAACCTATTTTCAATATACTCTTTTTCATCCCTTTTTTGTTTTCTCTCACTATTCAAGAAAAATCAGAAAAAAGAAGGAGAAGAACGTTTATTGCCACCCACACTCAAGAAAATTTGGTTGCGTTTATATGTTTTGTTTGTTCTTCAACTGAAAGGCAACTATCTTCAAAAGTAATGTATACTTTATAGAAAGCTTTTTGAGGGCTATTGTGGAAAATTCAGCTTCTCTTTCAAGAAGAAGGAGAACATCTCGTTTTCAGTGAGACATCCTTTTTTGGATGACTTGATTTCTTTGGATGAGCTTTTGTTCATCCAATTTGTTGCTATTTGTTCTGAAACAATGTATTTAACTAATCCTCACACCTGCCAATCACAAACCCTTTCATTTTCTCCGAATCCTTCTCTCTATTGAACCTTTTTGTCCGCTTCTGCCATTTGTGTGACCAGTCATTTGAAGAAAAAACAGTCGGAAAAGGTCACCAGCTGCCATGGTTGATGTATGCAAATGAATGAGACAGATCTGTGTGTAAGTGGACACTAGAGGTCACACCCTTGGTCCTATTCCACTTTCTTCTTTTCATTTGAAGACCACTTTGTCATTTTTTAATCCAATTCTTTACTTTTTTGTCTCCCAATATCATTGAAATTGAAAATCAGTTAACGGTTTTCTGATTTCTTCCGGTTCAAACCTAATCGAATCATCGAATCATCCTCAATCACCGTGGCCGTTTTCGTCTTCTTTATTTTCTGAATCTCCAATTTTTAATTCGGTTTATAATTCGGTATCGGTGGCAAATTTACACCCAAATTAATTTTTTTTAAATAGAAAAATACGAAAACTGGAAAACACGAAAGGGGAGAAAGAATTTTCAAGGAAATCAAATCAATTACACTCTCCTGACAGTTGTAAAAGTTTCCAAAAATTCAAACAATTTACTCAGTTCTTCATTTCGGACCATTTTGTGTTTTGATGAGCTTCTTTCTTTCGTGTCAAGACCCAGCATTGTGTGGTTCTCTCCAGAAGAAAAGAAGTATGAAAAGCATTGTGGTCTATTACCTCATTGTGTCTGTGTATATTCCTGTGTGACAATGGAAGTAGAAGCACAAGGGTGTGTACTCGTCGGGACGATGACGATGACAGTAGTAGTAGAAGAAGAAAGCATCAAAAGGAGAAGAAGTTTTCTTTGTGCGGTGTTGTCTGGTCTTCCCTTCTTATTCCAATCTTTATGTCCCGATTGACGACCTCTTATTAAGTTTCTCTTTCTTTTTCTCTAAATCCTTTGATGAATCTAGATTCTGGATCTTGATTTTATTAATCGAAAGATCGATGCATGGAACATTGCTGCAGAAAGATAAACCTGAAATTTCAGTTTTCTGTCCTATCTGCAAAAACTGTATATACTAGTGTGATGAATTGCCTTGCCACAACTGTCAGATGATTCTAACCAGAACCCGAACCATATTTTTTTTTGCGGTTTCAAAATAGTTAATTTAAAATAGAATGTATTTTTCCCAAGCCGGACCTAACCCATTTTCCTCGAAACCAGTCTAGACAGCATTATGACGGAACCTATGACAGTTGAGAACTAATATGATTTTTGTTCATTACCTGTATGTTTTCTAAAAACGAAAACACATGACACCCACCTAATTTTAGTACCCCCACCGCTCCCTGATTGTGTTATGAGTCTGAAAACGTGTTGTTTTTGATTTCCAGCCCTTTCTATCTGGGCTGATGTCTGATACTGGTATCGATCGTAAAACGCACCACACCTCCTTAACGTGATTTTTTAAGTTTTCGTTTTACGAGGTACCGTATACTACTCTGTACACTTTTTTGAAACAAGACAAAGTCAGAAACCTGTCTCTTCATTTCTCGTCAATATTGACACCATTTCAACTCGAGAGAGAAAGAAAGAAAATGAGAGGGCAAAATGGCAATTTGAATGTGAAAAACATGAATGTGGGGAGGGGGGAATTGTTTTCGTTTTTCTGCAAATAGAAAACTTCTGGACTTTTCGATGACTTTTGAAAAACAGAAAAAATAAAAGTGATCTCTGCTCGAAACACAAAATAATGTTATTTGAAAGAGATGAGGGAAAATTCTAGAGTTATTTTGGCTGTAGGTATATAAACTTTCTGAAGCTGTTAAATTTTTGGATTGCTGTAGATGAATCCTTTATTTCCATACATGTAAACCGGGCTCTGACATAGTTTCTTTTTGAACCAATATTTTTTGCCAAACCAAATCAGATATGGTAGAACTTGACGAGTACTACAAAATGACATTATTTTAAAAACTGTAGCTTGTCTATGAACAGCCTTACAAACCAAACAGGCCGGAAAAGTGCCAGGGAACGGGATTGACCGCTTTATGACTTTTAACTTTTTTTCATAGACCAGACACAGTTTCCCCAACTAATATAATTTTGTCGCACTCGTCAATTTCTCTAAAATCACATTTAGTCGGTCCAAAAATACGGATTCTAAAAGAAACTGTAGCCAGGGCCCGTTTTGGGCCCGTTTTTAATTATGCTTGGTTCCAACTTTCTTTTTCCTTATCACATTTCGCTCTGTCGACTCTTGTAATTTTGTTCTCTTTGAAATAAAAACATCTGAATCATAAAAAGCTTCCTTCTCTATGTATTGTGAATATTCAACCAACCGAAGGATAGGTTCAGCTGCACAGCTCATTATCTCCCCAAACCACACCTCAGCATTTTTCTTCCCGTCGTGCCTAATGAAAGGCCATTTTCTTTTCCAATTCTCTTCCAATTCTCTTCCCCTCTTCTATTCATTTTACCCATTCATAAAAAAAATAATTGCCTTCAATTATTCGACATGTCCACATTCGATGCGCGTCGTCGGTCATCATTATTGGGGCGAACCGATTATCATTATAAGCCTCTTATCGTCAAAATTGAAAGTTGAACATTGAACACATTGAATTGGCAGGGGAGATTTTCACAGTTTTTGTACTTTAGTTTCCCTATATTGACACGAAGCAGCACTTTTCCTCTCAAGTCCCTGTCTGAAAATATACAACGAACACAGAATGGGTGTTTTTCTGGAATTTTCTTTCCAGTTGGCTGAAAATATTGTAGATGGACACTTGTTGACGAAACGAATGGCGACTAGTAGTGAGTAGGAGGTTCGTCGGAGAAGGCGAGCGAAGACCAGCTGCCAGCGTTTTTTTTTCTTCTGTGGTTCACTCGAATGGCTCTTGGGGGTTTCGGGAACATAAACACATTCTTAGTGATTTCGGGAGAGATAGAGCTCTTTTTTTCGTTTCGTTTACTTTATAACTTTGGAAACCGAGGGATACGGTAGATGTTATTTTTTAAATAACAGACGAAAATTTGAATTGCTAAAATACAAAGAGATTATAGTGGTGTTTATTAGAAGAAAAAAAAATATTTTCAGAAAATATTGCTATAAATATTTTTGAGAAACGAGATGTTGTTTTCGGAATAGTCCGATCTCAATTAGAACACATTTTGTATTTTAGTAGGCACAGGAGTACGGTAACTGGTTGGTATGGACAAGATTTTTGGTGAAGAAAATGGAACTTTATATAATGTGTACCACGAAATTGAAAACTACATTCGGAATACTTTACTTCCTCCATTAAAAATCCGCACCTGGGTATTATGACTTCTTGGTAATTCACTTCAGAAAAAATATTTTTCGAATACACTTCCGAGCGGATTTCCTCTTCACACCCAAAGTCCTAGTCGATCTATGTAATAATCCTCACAAGTATATTCATTTCCACTCCTAGAATAATAACTTCCGCCATATTCGTTCTTCTGGTTCCTGTCTCTCCCCACTTGGAAATCCAATACCTTCACAACTTGATCTTCTCAAAGTTTCGTGTGATCTCAGAACTCGACGAACGTAAGAGAAAAAGTGTTTTCCACTTTTCCTTCGACCAAATGTTTCTTCGTATTCGTTTTCTTCTTTTTCAACTTTTTTTTCGCACCGTTTACACTAGCGTGCGAGCCACTAAAAAGTAAGGGGTATGTCGTTTCTTCTTCTTCTTCCCCCATCTTTTTCCGCTATTGACATTTTTTGCCCCCTCCGATAACGAGAGCGAAGATGGGGACGATTCTTCGAAAGGTTCTCTTTCCAAAGGTTATCAATTCTCTCTCATGGTCGACGATCGTCCCCCCCCCATCTTCTTCTTCTTCTTATCGCCGAGTTTTCCGTTTCTCCCACTTCTTTCCTTTCCAATATTTTCTCTCGATTTTCAATCATCCTTCTTCTTCTTTTCGTCATCCCTTGCAACTCTTTTTTTATATTTTCACATGTGACACTTCTTTTCTCTCTTTTCCTCTCATGGGACTGATCCTTATCGGTATAATAGCCATCACCGCTTATCACCCATTCATTCAGCTCCACCTCCTTTTTCGCCTTTTATAAAGATTCGCCTATTTCGGCACGTAACAAAATGAATGTGACATAGACATCAGAAGATTTATCAATTCATCTTATCATCAAGAAACGAGTGTCTCTCTCTCCTTGTCCTAAAAAGTGGATACGGTACTTATCGTCCCATTTCTTCTTCTTCTTTTGCTTTATTCGTCACTCGACCACACCGGCGTTCGATATATTTAATGTTAATGTAAAAAAGTATAACACACGCAAATAGATGATGTACCGCGCTGATGCGCTTTGTGAATCATCATAATCACAACTATATTTTTACGGTACGATGCTAATGAGACGATTGTATCCATACCATCTGTCCAAATAGTTATGAGTCATTACCTCAGCAGGCGTCGTTTGCTCAATGACTCAAGAAAAATAACACTAGCTAACTTAACTACTAGTTGTCTCTAGAATGTTCTCTAGAATTTTCTAGATCCGCACTTTTCAAAAACACTAGCTTGCTTTCGACTTTCAACGTCGAGATCTTTGTGCTTCTAAAAGAGATAATCCGTTCCTTTATCCGAATCGAGCCGTCATTTGAAAATCATGATTCGGATTAGTGAATTCTAAAAATATATGTCAAAAATCTCACGTTTCCTAAAAAATGGAGAGATAGAATTTGGAAACCAGCAACTACCGTACACACAGCGGTAGTAAAACTTCACACCAATCACTTCAATTTCGATCATCCCATCAGAACCTCCTCTTCCTACTAATCTAGCCCTAACATCTTTCCGGCCAGGTATTACGGTATAATAGTCCACCCGTAAAAGTAAGATCATTAGGCAATCCATCCGTCGTATGCGCTTGATGAAAAAAGAAAAGAGTCCTCTCCTTCTCCTCCAGATGATGTCATACTTTTTCACCACATCAAATGTTGTTCGATGGTCCTTCTCTTCCAATTTAATCATTCCTCGACCCCTTTTTTGTGACGTTTCAGACGAGAATAGAAAAAAGAACGAAACCAAACTGTTTGCACGTATCCTACAAAACTTTTGTAAAAGAAGTTCCTTTGATTCAGTCAGTTGAGTCAACATACATCCTTTTTTTCAAACACCTGGTCAAACGAAGACTATTACAAATTCAATATCCGGATTAACTTTTTTTCTTTCTTTCTGACTAAAAATTTCTGACTCTTAGAACTGAATCACTGCCTAATCTGCAAATTTGCCAGATTCCGTAGAACTGGAATTTGATAAACTGCATTTCCGCAGTGGTAATCTCGTTCTTCGAATTCCAGAATCGAAGGACCCTAGGCTTTTAGATCACTGTTCTGTCTTCTGATAATCGGAACGCTTTATAATATTTTTGTCGAGACTTATCTTGCTTTATTTCTTGCCAGTGTCGTCTTCCATCGTTTCAAACAAAAAAGAGAATGTTCAAGTTTTTTTCGGTTCCTTGGTTCCTTATACTATTTCTATTTTCCCTCTATATTTTCCTCACACAATAATCCAAATTGGGAAGCGATGAGGCGGAGAGAGAAAGAGAGAGAAACGACTGAAAGCGGATCACTCCCCAACATACATAAGGATATCGGAGTCAGAAAAGCGTGCGCAGAATCTATAAAGAGGCATAAAGGAGTGAAAAAGAAGACGAAGGGACAGAAAATGCAAAGTAGAAATGGAGAGAATAGAAGAGATGGAGAACAAACATGTGTACTGTCTTCCCTGTCTCTCTAACCACTCCCAAGCTCTCCTTTTCCATCTCACACTCTAGCTTTCAATGCGAAGCCTCTCCTATGTCGTCAACAGACCGACCGACCGAATGCGCTGATGTTTGCCCGTCGACGCGACGTCGCTAGCGTCGCGTGCGATTCTCTGCGCCTCTCGTTTTCCTTTCACTCTCATCTCCGTCTTTATCGCCTCAGGCAGGCTCCACCCTCTTCTTCTTCCCCTTCGTCAACCCCCATTCTATTTCTTCTTTTTCTCTCCCTTCTCTATCTTCTCGCTCCCTCAGCGATTCGATTCGCACGCTCGCATTACAGCGGCCCGAGCGGGCAGCCCGCGGGTCCGTCGATAAATCGAGGAGAAGAAGGAAAAGAAGAGGAAAGAAGAGAAGAGGAAGGACTGGTCTGGTTTCCACTAGGACTAGAGGCAATGTAGATTCAATTCATTTGATTCTGTTCCGTTTCTCTTCTCTCGTACTTCTTTCCTTCATCGATTAATATCGATCTATACACTTTTTGTACAGTGTGAAAACTTACGATCACATGATAACCTGATGAAAGTTTCAGAACCTTCTGGAAAAAAGTTTCACAAGACATACACATGTTTTGAAAACAATTGTCATACTTAAGCAACTGTTTGATTAGTATAGAAGCAATATAAGTCCCTCTTTTTTTTATTTTGCCCACTCTTCAAGATATATATTCTTAAATATTTATTCTTTCCCAATTTTTATCTTCTTTCCTTAGTTGATAATATTCAATTCTAGTTTTATATTTCCTAATCATATATGATGATTTTCTCGGATTTCAGAGTATTAAAAACCACCCCCGGGTCAAAAAATGGTGTTGTTTTTTACGTCCTGTCCAACCTCATCCCTGGTGAGCCAGTCCCCCACCCCGTCGTCCACAACATCGACGACAACGACATCAGATGTCTTCGTAGAACATCCAAAGTCGCAGCCGATCCCTGTTAGGTACGTATCATCGAGATTCAGTTCAATTTTTCTGGAACTCTGAATTCCAGAAATAACGGTCAATGGGACAACAGCGATCACCTCTCGTGTTCGCCGCTCGAGCGATTCCCATCTCCGCTCGCCACGTCAGCGGAGTCTGTTAACTCGATCAAGTCGAGGTAAAACTTTGATATTGAGTCTTGTCTTTCATCCATATCCATCTTTAGTTGCTCGTCGCGCTCATCGGCCGAACGTGAGACTGAACGTGCTCAGTGTCGCCAATTGCTCAATTCCAGCCTGAGCAAATTGCGGGAGGAATCGAATATGCCACTTCGGAAGCATCTTCTGATTTTCAACACCGTCAAGACGATCCAGGTGAGACGACGGATTCTGTCAAATGAGCTCCTACTTATGGATCAGCTAGCATCACTGAAATTATTACGGATTTAGATTAATTTTTAAAGACTTAAAATACAGAATTATCCGGGATTTCTTCTTGATTGACGCACATAGTAATCTCTGATTTTTTTTACTACTAAATCTCTCGATTTTTCGGAAAACCAGGATTATTTTGGCGCGAAATCCTTTTCGAAGCTCATCGTTTTTAGTTGTTTACAAATAAAAAAAACTCATCATTTGAAAGTCAAAGTGGATCTGGAATATTCTCAAAAAACAATTTTCAGAAAGACTTGGATCAATTGGACGATGAGGAATTGTACTGCTCTCTGGTGGGTATGTCGAACGAGACGACGATGCTGATGGAAGTCGATGGTACCGGTGACGAGTGTTGTTGGGGCAATGAGAAGGATTGCTACAACAATGAAATGATGATGTTGATTTCGAACGCCAACGATGTCGTCGACTCCGCTGTCATCTGCGGAGCACCTCTGAAACAAGAGGAGCGCGGCGCATCGTCTGACATCACTGGAATGATGTTTGGAGGTAAATCATTCGTCTTCTTGCTTCGATAGAATACTAAACATCTGTCGTCTTTTCTTCCCTTTTCTCAAAAGAAAACCGAGCTCCTTTGGTTGTGTCGTGATTTATGGAGCTTGTCTTTTTGCGCCGCGACGCCGTCTTTTTTGTTGGGTGTATCGGCGCGCGCGCGATAATTATGTACGTCCTTTTTCTTTATGGTCACAAAGAAGGATTGGATGGAAAATGGAGGAAGAAAGAACTGGTTTCCTTTTATTCTGTAAGAAAAAAGCATAAATAATTTGGACGATACCGATTGTGGGAGGGCGAGAGAAGAAACGATTCTTGATTCTTATGTTAAGCACTGTAGTTGATTCTCAAGGCCCGATCGGGCCCCGATATCCACAACAGTCGAAAATTCTGAAAATCACGTATACCACCCCGACTAGTCCAAACTGTATAATTGCCCTTAATATAAATGTATCTATCTCTCCACGGTTACTGAATACTACTACAGTAATCCTGTCCAATATTTCTTCCTCGTTCCTTCCAGCTTGAGAGAGATATCTTCATGTGTGGGGGTGTTTGTTTTTTCACTGAAAGCTCGCGCATAAACACGCACACACTTGCGTCATGCCTAATTTGAGCAGTGTAGGGCCTTCTTCGACTAACGAACACTCTTTTTTCACAGCTCGCTATAAACAAGATATGTGGGAGGGGTGGGTGCGGCTGTCTTTTTTATTGGCTCACGTCACGAAAGGAACCAATTTGTAGAAGGAGAAAGGGGATTAGATTAAAAATAGAATAAGGGATGTCGAACATGAAATCATTAAATTCTATTTTCAGACGATCTCGAGATGGATGAGGCCGACACGAAGACCTGGTCCTGGTCCTCTGGCGCGTCGATTTTCGATTCTGTTCAGGTATGCATTGTTTTCTTTTTTTTGCTGCTCTTTTTCCCAGATGGTGGCGCCGGACAGACTAAACTTCAAAATAGACATTCTGCGTCTCTTTTCCTCTTGATCACAAGACTTGTTTATCGGGCCTTTTCTCTACGCTCTCTTCAATTCTAATTCTGTCTTTCCAACGTCATAATCGTTGGCAGGCGGTCTGTGGTGGCCTTCGCCTGCGTCTCTTTAGGTTTCCGACCGAGAAAGAATTGGAAAAGAAGAAAAAGAATAGAGAGGTCGAAAATGTCACATCACGTGTTGGGGGGGGGGGGGGAGGGATTGTTAGATGTATGTGTGGCATGAGAAATGAGAGAAATTTTTGAAGGCCACACTGGTAGGGACATACGGATTGGAGTTTTTTTTTTGAAAATAACCTTGTGATTCATTGGAGAGAAAAAAGAAAGGGATAGAAACGTCTGGATGCAATCGAAACTGTCAAATCATGTGCCTATATTGTTGAGTCATATGTGTTTGTGAATACGGGCGGCTCTGAATAATACATGTATTGGGGGAAGAACAATTGAATCGAAATGAACCAAACACTCTTTCAGGAATCGAAATCTGGCTCGATGGATGCTTTGTTCAAGTGGTCCTCTTCGTGCTCCGATGCTGCCTACTCCGCTCCGATTACCAGCAACTCTTTCGGTGGATGGGCTGATTCTTCTGCAATCTCCGGTGGAGGCCTCTTCGGACTCCCGGATGATTCGACATCGTCGTGGTCCCATGGAGCCACTGGTTTCGACATGTGGGGAAACAGCGACCCACTCGGATCGGCTCGCTTCGACATGCACAATTTGCTTCTTTTGCAAGCTTAGAACTGATAGTTGAGTAGTATCAGTAGAAGAAGCAGTTGTAAAAAAAAAGAAGAAGAAGACGTCAGAAGTCGAAGAAGTCGTTTCAAACGAAGCTCGCCAAACCAAATACTAATCTTAAAATTCGAACATCAAAGGACACACCATACAAAAAGTTAAGAACTCTCTTTTTTAAATTCTCAAACTCTAAACCCAACCCCTCCAAACTCTTGTCATCTACCTTTTCCTCACAGCATATCCTGTACAATCAACCATTTATAATTCATTCCCTTTCTTCAATTAGTGATTAGTTGTGTTTGGTATGATTCGCCTTCCGTTTCATACCATTCATATCGTTGTGAATAGTCTCTAGAAATTCCCTCTTTATATATAATCTAATATTTGGTGTACTACTGCCTAGTGATCTCCCGACCGGGCCTATCTCCCATTCTCTCTATTTCGGTTCTCTCTCATTCAAAATGGTTCTCTTCTACACTTTCTTGTTTTATTCCTTTCCATTTCTGGTTTCCAAATCTCAGTTTTCCAACCCTCACAACATGTGCATTTCTTTTCTTTCCATAGTCACTCAGCTTGTTTTTTGTTTAGTTCCGGTGTTATAATTGTTGAGCGTAATGTAATAAGGCAAGTGTACATAGTTCTTCCCTCCCTTTGAAATGTGTATCATATTATGGTAACTTGTTTTGTATCATCACTCACCTTGATCCATCTCCATCCTATGCAATCTCGGTTTCCCCTTTACGTGGTCCCCAATTCCATCAAATGTGTGAATACCTGACCGAACAGGTTGCCACGTCAAGGTTCTATGAATCTAGGTGCGATGAATAAGGATACCATGACGTGGCAAACTGCGCGGTGGTTAGTACAAAAAACCTCATTCTCTCATTGAACAAAACGCGGTTATATTCTTATCCCATTCTCAATTTGCCTTTTTTCTCATCACTCCCTGTCTAGTCATCATCCCCTTATCCCACCCCAATCTTACCATACTTGTTACACATTTCTCTGTCTTCTCTGCCCCTGCCTTGAAAATCTCTACCATCCGTTCCCAAAACGAGTACTTGTTTTTCTCATCCCATCTCTTCCCATATACACAAAAGCCTCGGAGGTTAGTAGGTTACTGTAGGTTAGCTGCTATGTGTATCTGCATTTTCTCTTATCTAGAAAACGTTCGGGTCTCCCCAAAAATCTGTTCCATCTCCACCAATAATTACTTCGTTTTGTTTTGTTGTTCTGCGTTCAGGGATTGTTTTTTTCCTCCACTACAAAATCATTCATTGTTGTTTTTTCCTTCTCCATTTGCCACCTCCGGGTCACAAATCATTGTTTCCAAATTTCGCTATTAATTTTCCTTCTCATCATTTGGTGAAACCGGTATACCATTCCATCTCCATTTCCATCCCATTCTCCAAATTGTTTTCCCCCTTCCCCCTATCTCAATAATGATTTAGTAGTTTTAAGATATTCCTTCTTTTTCATTTCTCTATTCCTTTCGTATGTCCCAATCAGGTCCCAACCCGTGTTCCATTGCGCCGCGCGCAACCTCCCCTCTCTTTTTGTCAGCTTTACCATTTCTGTAAGTGCCCATTTCGTTCTCTATCTCTTCCCATTTTCTCTTCCACTCATCATCGTTCTCATTTCTTTCCCAATAGATTCGTTAACTTGTGAGTGTGAGTGAGATATTGTGAGTGCGTGAGTGTGTTTTGCGCCGAACTGTCTAAAGTCTGAAAAGCTAGGCGCGTGCATGTGGCGCAGTGTTTCGGTTGGTATTTGTGGATGAAAGGATTTCGAGAAAAAAAGAAGAAACATTTTAAAGAAAAAAAAAGATTCCAAAGAACCCCTTTCAACGAACAACCGAACGCTCCGATCCACGACCCCCGAGTGTTATTTCTAGATCGATAAAAAGATCGAGAAACCAACCAACTTCCCCGAAAACCTTTTGATTATATTTAGAATATTTACTCGCCTCCAGAACCCCAATTCCCCCTCAACATTGTATCACCGGACCCACCGGTGTCAAAGATGTGTTATACCAACTCTATTTGAATCTTTGACCGGTGAGACGGTACCCACCCTCTCTCCATTCCATCATCTCAAAAAACAAAACATGCCAAAAGATATACATGTATGAAACAAAACAGACATCTTCCCGGATCCCAGTCATTTTTCTTTAACCTATCTAGTTATGAGCCTTAATATTTGCCCCTCCCAAACTCTCTGAATGTGCAACCTGTCAAACACAAAAAAGCTTTTTAACGTGGATTTAGTCGTGTATCAAAACCTTCCCATTCTTGTCTCTTGTCACCCAAAAAACATAATGTGATTCCCAAAACCTCAACTAATTCTCAGTCAAATTTTGCATTTTTGTGTCTCTCCATATTACCATCATCCCATCACGTGTGTACCGGTGTACGTTTGTGAATGAGTGTGCTCCAAATTGGAGTCTCGCGTCTCAACGGTGTCCTTTTTCTGTATCCGATTTATTTGACTTCTTCCCGCCTTTTCCTTCTCTTTTTTCCATCTCTTCTTTTCACATTCTCTCATCCAGTCATTCTTAATTTTCCCATCTAAATCCCGATCAACTCAGTGTGCTTTTTGCCGAACTTTTCTCTCTCGATTGTGTCGATATAATTTATATATTCTTTGTCTCATTCGATCCATAATATGTACATTATTCGACCCTTTCCCCCTCCATAGTGTCTTATTTCCCATTTCTCTCTCTCTCCCGTTTCCTTTTTTTCGTTTGAACTCGATTTCATACGCGGTGTGAAGGCTATAAATAAATACTTTTCTTGTTAGAATCAACTGTGTTTTTTGTTAAAATTCCATAAAAAAGATAACAGAGCAAACAATGGGAAGCAGATTGAACAGAATGCAATTGAATTGAAATTTAGAACATTGATAAGAAAAAGAATACAATAAAACCCGATTGAAATGTTACAATAGAAGTGCTAAACCTATTCTAAACGCGGAACAATGACATAGAGAACCTGTTGTTATTCAAAAGATAACATGTTGCACTATTGAATATTAGGGCAGAAAACTAAGTATACAGTTTTGAACTTCGTTGCCAAAAACAAGAATACTGATAGGACTGTAGTTCCAGTCATTTTATGGAATGAAAAATTCTAAACTTGATATTGTGTTTAGCATGAAATATGTCAGCAAACTCCTAGGCGAAGGAGCACTGCCAAAAAACTGATAAATAAAAGCTGAAGAGGTGAAAACTGGCAAATGACCAAGTTGGCAACCGAAGGAGTTGTCAGCCGAAAGAGGCCGTCGACGGACTGTTGATGGACAACTGGAACCAATTGGAAAATTGTTTTGATTGGAAATCAGCCAGGAAAAAATATTTCATGCACGCAATGAATTATAGAATAATGATGGAAACAAATTTTCCTCACATCAGACTACCTCCAAAATAGGTTGTTAAACGACTGCTAAATAACAATCGCAGATGCGCTGACTGATCAAAGGCCCAAGGTGGCGGACCAAATATCTGCAAAATGGAAAGTTTGGCTGAAAAAATACTGTCAAGAAAGCGCTATCAATTTAAATGGTCAGACTTAGAGGCGCAAATTTTTGCAGACGGGTCGTCGGCAGCGCGCAGTTCGACTGCCGACTGTTCTCTTTCCTGCAGCCAGCACCTCAGCGGCGGTCCGTTTTTCGGCAGTCCCCTCGCTGATGTTGTTTAAAAATGTGTTGTTTTAAAAGTTCTCAAAATTTTTAAGTTCTGATGGACATCGGCATTGTGATACTAATTGCAATGCTCGTTTTTGGAATATAATTTTTAGTGTGTCCGTTTTCATCTAACAAGCCCATCTTTCCGGTTTCTGGATGAACAACAGTTTTACCATTTTTGACTGCAATTTAGTAACTCTTTTTCTATTCTCCCATCCTTATTATCGCTGTTTTTTTGAATAACAAAATTGTTATCCCGTAGGATCCATCTCTTCGAACAACCTAAAACTCCCTAGGGCAATCAATTACATAAACAATCTACGTTGATGTCTACTGAAAACAATGAGGACGCAAAACTATACGAAGCCTAGAATTGTTTTTATCTGCTCACAATTTATATCAACCAGAACACAATCATTATCAAAATGGATTTCAGCTGGGAAGTGGTCCAAAACGTTTCTCAGTCTTGTTCAGCGGTCATTGCTGTTCCATTGAACACACTTCTCATTTATTTAATTGTAAATCACTCACCTAAAGAGATTGGAGCATACCGGTATTTGATGATTTATATATCCGTATTTGAAACTGTTTACGCCTTGCTCGATGTGGTTGTTTCCCCATTTGCTCATTCCTACGGATCCACTTTTATTGTGCTTGTCAACATGAATCACACGACAATACCTAACTGCTCATACAAATCCTTTTGTGTAAGAAAAACCGCATAGATGGAAGTTTGAGATTAGACTATTTCAGCCATTTGGTGTGGATTCTACGGTTCATCTATGGCGGTGTTCGGAATACATTTTGTCTATCGATACTTAGTTGCAACCGGATCAGCCCTTCTCAAAACTTTTCAGTCCTGGATGATTGTCCTTTGGCTTTCGATCCCCGTAGAAATTGGGACCACCTGGACAGTTCTTACATATTGGCCGTGTGCTCCAAGAGAAGCAACAGACAGATACGTGGGTGCTAATATCAATGAAACATTACATCTGGCCCTTGATGAAGTGGAGTACATTTCCCCCTATTTCTATGAGTTGGGGGAAAATGACGAACTGGTCATTTACTGGCCAAGTTTTGTTGGGATCGGAATCAACTCTTGTATTATTGTAAGCACAAAACCACACTTCGTTTTTTGAAATTCTATATTTTAGAATGCTTCTATTTTCACAATCGTCTACTTTGGCTACAAATGCTACAAAATTTTGAATAGTTTGGTACCAAAGACCAGCACATCTGAAAAAAATCGACAACTACAGAAGCAATTATATTTAGCCCTCGTCACCCAAACATTGATTCCTTTGGTCCTAATGCACATTCCTGTATCGGTCTTGTATTTTTGTTCTTTTGCCAGTGTGGAACTAGGACCTCTCAGTGGAATTGCTCCAGCGTCGATTGCTTTATACATTATCCTGGATCCTCTCCCAACTATGTTCATCATTGGACAATACCGATTGATTTTGTACAGTATGTTTGCTTACAGTAAGCCAAAATAGGCACTTTTTTTCAGAATGGTTAATATGGATCCCCACAAAGTTGAACTGCAAAAAGCCAGTACAACCAGAAAGTGTTGAAATGACGGAGAATGTTCCAAATTCCACAGGAATCGATTCAAACAGTAATAATCCTTTGTCATCGTAGCTAAACTGAATTCTTTATAAAATGTTTTTCTTGTTTTCAATTCAATAAAGATATTTTTAAAAATTTTATATTCGGTAAAACATATCAAGCAAAGCAAATAATTAAATTTCTCCCCATACAGAGACATTATCATCGTCTGGCAACTTAGAAGTTCGTCTGGAGCTGGTACCGTCGATATGGGCAACATTCACTGCTTTCTTATTTTTCACAGTCAGACAGAATTTCACAGGAGTCATCAGGAACTTTTTCAAGCCTTCCTTATAGTTTTTGATTATGAAAATAGACGGAAGAGGATCGATCACAGGGTATAATGCAATGGTAATGGAAGTGATACTGCTCATTCTTCCCAAACCAACGTTAAAAAGAGCTCCAGAATATGTGATAAGAAGTGGAAGATGCATTAGAGTAATTGGTATAACTGTTTGGAGAACTAATGCCAGGAAAAATTGTCGCTGTAGAGCACGATACTGTTTTGAGAATCCACCGGATGTGGTAACATCTGAAAGTGCTTTATAGCATTTCCAGCCATAGAAGAAAATTGTCATTAAAGAAGTACCCTGCAAATGTAAAAAGATTAAAAATAAAGTTGAAAACGCGAATCACCATTATTGATGTTGCTCCAACGAGTGTCATGACAACATCAGTGTCAAAGAGAAATCCTCCATTTTCATTGAAAAAATAGGGACCCATGTAAGTGACGTCTTCTACAGATAAACTAAACTCTTGCATCAAATTATCTCTGAACAAAAAAAATAACTTCGAAGCTGAGAATCTGTATACTGACCTTATGTAGTTGGTCGTTACCGCTTTGGGTCCACAACAAAAATAAGATATGGTACCCCAAATAGTTCCGAAAATAAATGGAACAATCAACCATGCTACTATTTTGAAACCTTTGAAAGTGGAAATCCTCTTGTTTCTAAAGTGAATCCTTCTCATAAAAGATTAAGATCTAAAACTTACCCGCTAACTGCCAAGTATCTGTAAATGAAATGAATTCCAAATAGAGCCATCGATGATCCGTAAAATGCACACCATACACCTAGCATTATCAAAGAAACTGGTTTTTCAAAAAGCGAATGAGAAAGAGGAGTCATGATAAAGAAAGATGTCCCGTAGGAATGCATGACTGGAACAACCAGATAATCAATGATCGAATAACAAATCTCAAAGATTGATATGAATGTCATAAGATGTTTATATGGTCCCAACTTCTTTGGAGATTTCAAATAGATCAGAATGATGAGGATCACATTGCAGAACAAAGAAAGAAAGGCCAACACAGTAATAAGACGGTATTGGATTTCCAGCCACTCGAAACCAATCATTGTCTTCAAATGAAACTGTAATGAGTTTGAGTTATAATCAAAAAGAAATAGAATGCTCAAGAGAATTTTATACGTCAACAAATTCATGTGATAAGCTAGACAATTGATATATACCCTGGAGTATTGGGAACGGTTCTCGCTTTTCTAGAACATCGAAGAACACGGAACATTCGCTCTACTACATATATTCTCCCATTGGGATTTTTGGCACAGATACCCTATAAAAACAAAAACTTCTCAAACAATGATCACCTAATAATTTCTAAGAATGATTGGGAAGAGCTGGTCCGTCATCCAACATAATATCCAGATTGAATTTGCGATTATGTCCCTTATTCTCAACTCAACTCTCATTTTCCTAATCCTCCGTCATTCTCCAAAGTCACTAGGTGCCTATAAATACCTAATGATCTATATTTCCGCGTTTGAACTATTCTACTCATTGATGGACATCATCGTTAAACCGGTCGGTTGATATAATTTGTGAAAAAAAAAACTGCGAAAGCGATGACGAAAAAGAGGAAAAATACTTTTTTTGAGATTTGATTATGGGAGAAAAATGTCATGCCAAAATATGAATGAAAACAACAATTTGCTCCCTCAAAAAAAAATCAAAAACCTCAATTAGGCAAAAAGAGCAGACTATTTTCAAAGAAAATGGCCTCATCTTTGATCAGTATAAGCACCAAGGTATCATGTATTTTTGACAGATCTTCCATTCGTACGGATCCACTTTCCTAGTGATGGTCAGCACTAAAGAGACTGGACTTTCATTGAAAATTGCACTTTTATTGGGAGGTAACAAATAAAATATCACAAAACCTGAATTAGAAGGGCCAATTTCATAGAAGGGTTTTTTTAATAGAAGGGACTCTTTAATAGAAGGACCCCTTTAATATAAGGGTCCCTCTAATAGAAAGGCCCTCCGAGAGGGGCTTGGAAAAATAGAACGGCCCCACGGTATATCAAAGCAACGGGTCGAAAATCGCGCCCCAGTGGAGCAATCGCGTAGATTAAATGAAGAATTTTGGAGAAAAATGGCCGGGTAAATAGTAGGGAGGGTCTCCTTTAATTGAAAGGCGGATGTAATTGAAGGGCCCTCCAAAGCTACCTTGGAACAATAGAAGGGTCGGCCCTTCTAATACAGGTTTTACGGTATATTATTCTGAAACGAAAATTGGAGATGTGAATGAGGAACGCCTGTGGCCGAGGGTGAAGGTCTCGAGAGAAAAATTTGGAAAACAAAAACAATTTTTAAAATTTTAGGTAACTGTAGTTTTCGTTGTGGGACATTTGGCCACGGCCACCCGCGTTTCTCTTCCACTGGCTCGATTTTGTTTACCAGCATAATAGCAAAACTAAAACTCGGGATAATTTTTTTGAAAAGACAAAAAAAATTCTTTTAAAAATGTCCTGCCCGTTGCAATTATGGACCTCTTGTAACCCCTAACTTTAGCTGTCTACTGTGGATGCTTTGGTGCCTCCATGGCGATATTCGGAATCCATTTCGTCTATCGATATCTCGTCGCGGCTGGCAGCAAACTTTTGGAGAAAATCAGCTTTTGGAAAATTGCATTCTTCCTTCTAATTCCAGTTGTGTATGGTGCAATATGGGGATGGGTGGCATATGACCCAGTTGGACAACAACCGGCTACCGGGGAGCATATCAAGCAGGAGTCGCAATATAATATGTTGTTGATTGTCTTTCTTTTTCAGAAACAACATTCTAGAGACTTTTGATCTGGAATTGGAGGATATGGTTTATATTGGACCATACTTTTACCAAAAGTTACCAAACGGAACGTATGAAGTGGATATAATGTCAATCACCGGAATGTCCATTGTCTACATCATTGTCTCTTCTTCGTTTTTTACCATCTTCTATTTTGGAATCAAATGTTATCGGATTATTTCTCAACTGGTCCCATCTACATCTTCTTATCGAAGCAAACAACTTCAGTCTCATTTGTTCTGGGCTCTTGTCACTCAGACAATGATTCCAGTGATTCTAATGCACACTCCTGTCACTCTTGTTTACGCATTTGCTCTTTTGGATCAGGATATCGGTATGCTCAGTGGTTTCGTTTCAATGACAATTGCTGCTTATCCGGCAATTGACCCACTTCCAAGTCTTCTGATAATTCCATGTTATCGGGGAGCGTTGAAAAGTGAAAACTTCAGTTTTTAAGACTTCAATGGGACAAATTTATTATTTCAGAGTATCTCCCTTGCTGTCGAAGACCAAAGGATACTCAACAAGAGACCACTAATCCAGCTGGTCCCCGTACCGCATCCATTCTCAGCGTTAAACCAACATAACCTTTTTTCTTTCCGACAAATCAACTTTAATGAAATTTGTTTCTTTTTCAAAATGCAATCATTTATTAAAATCACTGGATGTGGTGGGTGCAGGGGGGAGAGAATACATAAAATACTATGAGAAGCAATAACGTTACTTTTTTTCTTTGGGGAAAAATGTTTCGAAGGCGGTGCGAAATTCAAGGCAATAAGTTATATCGATGTGAAGAAGGAGGATGAATAGGGGGTGCGGAAAAATCACAAAGGGAACATTATGCGTTGAAAGCATATTTAGGAAAAAGGGAAGAAGGGGGTCGTATCACAAAACACGCTTGCTGGATTCATTTCAACTAGAAGGGACGGTTTACATAATAAAACTTTTTCGCTTTTTAGGGTAAAGGCTGCAGATGTTCGAGGATAGTGCCTAGATTAATTAATTTATTTATTCATCATTATCATTGAGAGTTGGATAAACTGGATCCTGGACTCCTCGTTTCGATGGTGGAATCAGATGTTTCGGCAACTCGCTTGGAATCTCATGTCCTGGAAAACGAATATTAATGTCTATAATTTTGGACAATAAGCTCACCTTCCAACTTCAAGTTGATCAAATAGTTAGCCAAAGCGAATTCATCGGCATCGAGTTGTCCATCCTTATCAATATCGGCCAATTTCCAGACCTTTCCGAGTACCGAGTTTGGCAGCTTACTCTTGACCATATGTTCTTTTGCAGCTCTTCCGCTCAAATATCCATTGACTGGTCCGAGACTTTCGAATGTCGAATCCGCGGAAGTGCGTTCACGGTTCACAACCCATTCGGCTTCGTCGGCTCCTTTGTCGAATCCTTCTCCCTGAAAAATACAGAATTAGCAGAGAAAAAAAGTAGATTTTTTTGCCAGGGAAAAATAGAAATGTGAGGAAAATGATAGATAAAGGTGAAGCAGCATAGTGAGAAGGGATGGATTTACACACATATATTATCATTGCTCTTTTGCTATTTCAGCAATCGAGGAAAAGCTCCAAAGGGTACGATTCAAGGGAACAAAAAAGACTACAGAGTCACTTCAATAACTCATGCTTTCTTTTACTCCATTCATAACAAAACCTATCCGACACCAGTATTTCTAATAAACCAGCTCACCCATCGTGCATTATACTAAAAGAAATATATTGAACTGTGTAGCTAGGAACTACCAAAAAGCAGGGAAACATGAAACTTACGCGTCCAAATCCGAATGGAGTCTCTGCTTCTGTAGTTTGACTGAATGCTCCTCCCTTGACAGTTGGATCAGAGGCGCCGTTGGTTCCTGCTGGTGACGATGCTTCCTCCTTTGGAATTTGAGCCATCAAGCGGGCTGAAAAATTCAAAATAAATATTGCTTGCGCCGAAGGTTTCTTACCTATATCAGTAGCCAGCATTCCATCGACAACCTCCAAAAGCTTTGGCTTGAGTGGATTGAACTTGCTAAAGTCCTGAGCTTGAAGCTTCTCTCTCATCTTGTTCACATCTGGGAAGTCTCCAGGGGAGATGTTGTGCTCGCGTTGAAGTTGCTCATAGATCTTATCGAGATTCTGGATTAACTCCTTCTTCTTCTTCTCTTTTCCAATCATGGATGGCATCTGCTTTCGGAGTTCGGCGATGATGTAGGCATGAACCTTGGCAAGACGGGCTCTTTTGATGAGATCGTTCAATTTGCGGAGAGCAGCGTTACGTGGCAGTGCTTGCAAATCTTGGAACAAATCGTGTTGCTCATCTTGGAACAGGCGACGATTGATGTCGTAGTGAAGTGGATGATCCCAGAAGGATCCCAAGTAGACACGTGACACTTCTGGGGTCTTGAAGACTTTTCCCAATGACCACATGAGTGCTCCATAGACTCTCATCAATTGTTGATGGTCGACCATATCGGACTTGTTGAGAACAATACGAATTTTGTCCTCATTTCCAGCCAATGCCTCGATACATCTCTTGAATTCATCGGAAATGTCAAGTTTGTGGGCGTCGAAGAGGAGGATGATACGGTCGACGCGCTCTGCGAACCACTCTAACACACCAGTGAAGTCGTAGCCACGATCGATTCTGTAAAACGATTCAATTTTTTTTTCTTTTTTAAAATAAATTTCGCTCATTTTTTTTCGAAATATTCGAACGTTTATCGAGAGCGAAAGCAGCCACTGAAATTTGAGTCAAGAAAAATGATATTCATAAACAAAGCTTCGGAAATATACAATTTTCGGAAAATTACTTTCATTTTAGTGACCGAAACTTTTTGATTTCTTTCTAATGAATTAACTGTACCTTTGTTTCTCTCCGGAAAGAATTCCAGGTGTGTCAACAATAGTGACACTTTCAAGAACTTGATTTGGAAGAGTAGAACATTGGAATCGGTTCAAGAAAGCGTTCCCGAATCCAGAGAGCGCACGGAACTGCTTCTTGGCATCGACGACGAGTGCGTTTCCAGGAATACTTCCCTCTTCATCTCCATGCATGACAGCAATAAATCTATCGGTTGTTGGTTCTGGTCCAATTCGGATTCCTGGGAAATCAGACTCGAGAAGATAACGGATGAAAGTTGTCTTTCCAGTAGAGTATTGACCGACGAGCAGGATCATTGGCTTGGCGTCGAAATCTGGATCGTCTGAAAATCAAAAAATTTGAATTGAATTCTCAGACAAAAAAACTCACCGAGAGCTGGGCTGTGAAAATCATGATACTTGTGATACTCCTCGAGCGGCAGCAATTTCTGCTTGTAAATCTTGCGGAGACCTTCGGAAACCGTCTCCAGAACTTCCTTGTTTTTCTTTTTTGACGAATCGCCACCAAGCCACGAGAACATGCTTCTCTTCTTGGTCTTCTTTTGTCCTTCTTCTGTAAAAAATCAAAAATTGCATAAAATATTCGGAAAGAAAAAATTCGTTGGGAGACAAATGAGAAGCATGGAGAAGTTATTTTTTTCAGAAAACATATTTGGAAACCCATAATTGCAAAGCCAAATAATCTGCTTCTGTTTTTCGCGCTTCTAAGATTTCGTTTTTTTCTAACGATAACAACATTCAAGTCTAAAAACTGGCGAATAGCGAAAAGGAGGTTTTAATTTCGCAAAATAGGGATTATTGATTGTTCAGAAGTCCGTCTGAAAATCTCAGAACTTACTTTTTCTGTGATTTTTGAATTGGAGGAATGTGTCGAACATAATTTTGTTTAATTTTCAGAAGATTTCCAAATTTTGTTATGTTTCGAAAAAGTACAGTAATCCCCCCCAGTACAAGAAAACAATTTTGAGCTTGCGCCTTTCGGCTACTGTACTTTCGGAAAATTGAGTTTTTTTTGAAAATGTTGAAGTTTTTCAAAAGATCGGTTAAAATCTGTTTTAGTGTTGAAAAGGGTTTTTTAACAAAAATAAAAAATACTCCGGGCGAAAAGAAACAAAATGAGAATAAAAAAACAGAACCTATTGAAAAATCACATCAGCTGAAGAATTCCGGCGATGAAAAGAAGATGCATCATTTTCACCGCTGGAATGTGTTTCCACAACGAAAAAAAACTAAAATGTTCTCGGAGGTTCTGATATAGATAAATAAAAACAGCGCCTATGACTAAAAAAGAAGAATTTCGATTTCGAGACCCAAAGAAAGAAGCGAATTGCGAAATATGGGGCTCTATCCGCGTGTCTTCTTGTTGAATCGAAACTGAGTCATCATAGCCCAGCGAACCAACAATCAGGCGGCCAGAGACTCCCACGATGAATGGAGAAGAGACGCAGAGACAGAGAGAAAGGAGACTGGAGAGTGTTCTGAAGTTCGTTGAGGGAACAGAGATGAACGAATTTAGGGGGAAGATGACGTGGCAATTGGTGATGATGCACTTATTGGAAGTCGTTAAACAAACAGGAAATATCAATGCGAACACAGATACATCAATTAAAGTCCATCAATTGGTATCATCTCGTGAGAAAAAGAAGAAATAGAAGATCAAAGGGAGTTGGGGGTTTGTGCTGATAAAACGGGGGAATTCCTAAATCAAGAAGAACAAATGATGTATAAATATTTAATTGGCGATATGTATCTTCTGAAGAACCGATTGAATCGACTGGATAGATGGTGTATTCACATCATCTTCGCTTCAAAGTGACAGATCGAAGACGAGAGTACAGGAAAAATTAGAGGGGATCAGGTAGTCGAATTGAGAGAAAAATAGAGACTGCCCGACAAACTGCGCAAAATCAAGGACAGTGATCTAATGGATAGGAGAGGCTACAGACGGTGAAACCAAAATAATACGCGAACTGACCACCATCACCGACTGGCCGAACTGCAAAGCTACGAAAAAAGCGAGAAGAATGTGGAAAGTAAGCACACAAAAAAAAGAATTGTAAATGGTGGGTGGTTTCGTTAGGAAACTAGCGCATTCGTCTTATATGGTCATGTGTTGTTATTGGTCTAGAGCTAATATAAAAATATAAGTGTTGATGTGAATAGATGATGTATTTGATGGTTGAGAGAACAGCATGCAAAACAATTTGATTGAAGTTAATTGAAATAGAAAATAGAGTACAAGAAACACCTTCAAAAAGGGATTAAAATAAAGTTTTGGGCTGCCCTAGGCTAACCACTAGGTTCTGCTAGAGAAGCAGGAGGACAGCGAATAGAGTGAGTGGAAGGAAGAAAAAGTTTAGAAAGAGTTTATATAACGTATAAATGCTCCTCTCGATTTCACTTGGAGCCAACAACTGCTGGTGCACTATTGATTCCGGCGGACGGGGTCAGAGAGTCATGCATCAAGAAAAATGAGACAACCGCAAAGAGGGCGTTGCTCGTGTGAAGAATGCGATTGAAGGAAGGCAAGAAAAAAAATCGAATCGAATCAAAACAAAGTTTGGTGTTGGTTTTTTCATTGAATTATCTCACACAGAATGGGAGAGACAGAAAGAAATTGGTTTGATACTGTAAGAATTCAGTCAACAGGACTATTGGAGAATTTAATATCCGTGAATATTCTCTACAACTTACCACCAGTGTGATAATTCTTCCAAAAAACTCGAACACTATCCATTACTTTTCAGGTACAGTAGTAACTCTACAGAACTCAAAATAAGGCTCACCGCGTTCGATGGTACCATCCATCATATCAGCTACGTTTCCACGTAATTACACACAAAAATTAGTTCAGGAGTTAATACTTACAACTTCGGTTCGCGCTATGACGCGGGAGGTATGTCTCTCACTCGACGAAGCAAACATAAAACAGTTTGCACAATTAGATGCAAGTTAACAAAAAGCACGAGAAGAGAGATGTGTTGGTTCTAGCACTAGAAGGCAAACGAGTAGTATAGTCAAAGTATTAAAGGAAAGAAATGAAGAAAATGATTGGCATTGATACAATTCTTATCATTGTGACCTGTCAACGAATGGTGCTCTTCAAGAGAGAGAGAGAGAGAGATAAGGAACAAAGTGCACAGTTAGAAAAGAAAAGTGGGGGGGGGGGTGGGGTGGATTCCATTTGGCAGGAATTTCGAATAAATGGAATTGATTTCCAGGAAAACATTCCTTCAAACTGTATGAGAAATGGTTTGCATTTAGGAGACACTCAGAGAAATGGTGGAAAATGCTAAGAATTTCCCATCTTGCAAAACTGCAAAACTCAAGGAATCTACCTCTAACTGGTTCCATATACTTAGCAAGTCTAGGAGAAGGTTTTGGAGCCATCATAGATGCTCTGGCAACCGAGAGTCTTCTGATTGGCCGAGGAGCAGCGACTGGGTCCACTGGTGGAATTTCTCTCATTTTTACGACAAGCTTCTCTTCAGTAGTCTCGACGATTTCTTCTTTTTCAGGATTCTCTTCAACAACAGGAGTAGTTCCTTTATCTTCTGGGGTCTTCTCCACAATCTCCTCAGATCTGATCTCAATCACTTCAGTTTTCTCAATAAGCTCTTCCGATTTCGACTCGCTTTCTTTCTTTTCCGAATCCACTGGCTTTACAATGGGCTTGTCCACAATCTCCTCTGCCAGAACGACTTCAGCTTCCGCGTTGATTTCTTCGAAACTAGAACTGGACACAGATCCAGAAATCTGAAATTTCAAAAATTTGGAATAGAAAAAAAACTTGATGATCTATAGCGACTAACAAAATTAGTAAACTAAGTTTAGATTTTCCATCTACGTTTGGGTGCAAATGCCGATCGGTGACTCAATGAACTATCCAATTTCAATTTCGTAAAGCACACTCACCTCACATTTTCCACCGTCTTGATCAGTGGGCTTCTCCAACTTTTCGACATTTTCCACATCACGAATACCAGATTCCAAATCAATACTACCCATCGTGCCTTCCTTATTCACTCCTTTGTTTTCTTCGTTTTCTCCTTTCTTCTCCTTCTTCTGCTCGTCTTCCCCGGAGCTATTAATGACAATGACAGGCGGCGCGGTTGCCTCATTCATTTTGCGTTCTTCTTCTCCTTCTTTTTGTCCAGTATTCTCTTCAGACATAATTTCGGCACAGAATATTTATTGCTCAGAAAATTAGGAAAAAGGAAAAGGAAAGTGTTGAATTCAGAAAACTGTCAAGATGGGGAAGCAAGGCGGAGACATGTTTCGCAAACTTTTTTCTTTATCAATTTTTCTTTTTTTTGCGACAATTGACTTTTTGCGAAGAAAATGGAGAACGATGATAACATTCTAGAACATGACGAAACACAAAAGAATGAAATGACTCACCGATTTCTGTTCCGAATGGATTCGATGACGAGAACCTTTCAGGAGTCTTTTCGAAAGGATTTGTGATACGTGTCACTACCAGAGTATGATCAAAATCTTCGTCGGTTACTGTAGGCCGGCAAGGTTGACATCCCATATGTTATGATTAAAACTCAAAAAAGAACAGTTTATGAAAACATTGGAATAGTCAAATCAGGTAATATGAGAAGAATCATCTGGTCACTTTGGAATGAAATAGGGATTAACAAGGATTGAATGGGAAGTTGATGAATGGGCTCCGCGACATTTCGCCACCGTCATAATACATGTGAATGGATAGGTTTCAGACTACTGAAACAATTTTAGAGTTTTCAAATATGCTATTTCTCACAGAGCATTCTGAAATTCAAAAAACTCCAAAATTTGATAAAAACTTTTTTTTCAAATTTTCCGAATTTTGGAATGTGTCCTATCAGAAAAGCATAATATATTATGTTGAAACCCTACGAGGGGTTTTGCCGTTAAAAATCTTTATATTCGCCTGTATTATCAGGTAGGAAAAATGCCCCGGATCCGATGAATGAGGATAAAGGGAGATACAGTAATTCATGGTCCGTAAACAATATTGTAGAATGACCCAAAACCTATATGTTGTTGTCAGTTGGCTATTTTTATCTTTCACAGGAACCGAGATAAGTTGGCTCAAAGTTGAATGAAAGTTATTTTCAATCGAAATTTGCAACAAGTTTTCCAAAAAGAGAGAAAAATGTAAGTAATGCGCACAAAAATACAATGAAGTGGCTTGAACAAACAATGGATGTTTTTGTGCTTTGGAAACGTTTTGTGACATTTCTATCGCCAAACCAAAATTATCAGAATACTGATTCCAGATAATGTTCCAAACTTCTAACTGAAAAGAATAAAAGCTATAAAACCAGCTAGACAAAAAAATAAACTGAAATCCACGATTTCTGCATGCGCTCCCGTTGAACGGTCAATGTTTGAACATAAATGTGGCTGCTGCCTCCCGAACGAGCGGCACAGAAAAAAAATCGATGGAGATTCCCATATTTTATACACAAAACGTTTCCTCCATTTTCAACACAATAGGATGAGAAAACCATGATCGAAATTGAATACACTGTAAGACTTATGAGACTGAATAATTTGAACGGAAAAATTTTAATAGTCTGTTATTTGGGGTATTCGGAATCAAATTTATTCACACTAGGATTACTTATTTTCTCTTATAAAAGCCCACTCAAAACCGTCAACTTTGAGCTCAACCATCTCAATTCCAGTGAAAGATAGCGAGAATTTGTCAACTGTTAAAATAATGCTGATGATATGATAAACAATTTATCTATTGACAAAGTTTTGATATCTTTCAAAGGAACCGAGATGATTGAACTTTAAGTGGACGGTGTGAGTTGGCTTATATTAGAGAAAGTACGGTATTGTCTATTCAAAATAATCGCGCGGGTGAACGAGTAAAAAAACGTGTAGAGAGTCTCCAAACCTGTAGAGGCGCTGTTGAGACGCAGACATTTTTACTCGTTCACTCGCGCGATTATTTTGAATAGACAATAGCTTACCTTCTTCATCTCGTTCGGACCTGATGCTTGCTTCCCTTTTACTTTCTTCATAGACACTGATTTCATTTCTATTGGCACGTGGTACCGTCCGGAAAAAGTTGTGCATAGTGTCGAATAAAGAGTGAATGGTCTGACTTTTTGTTATAATAATAGTGTGATGGCTGCTTTATATGCAAATCCTTTTGACGCATTCAATAATTCAGTTCTAACAAAAACGCAAGGATCGTAAAACAACAAGTTTATTCAAAAATACTTCAGCATGTATTTAGTTTACAAATAATAGAATAATTAAACGTTGACCCCCTCAAATGTGATAACAGCTGGAATGGCAACTCCTTTGGATGCTTGTACTCTTGTCAATTCGATGAAATCTTCAATTGCCTTTCCGAATCTTTTGACTGTTTCTTCGTCACTGAAATCGCTGAGACCGTATGACACATTTTGGTTAGCCTCCTTGAATGAATTTCTTCCCATTTGTTCCATTTGAGTATTGCTCGCTAGAAGAGAAACAGCAAAATTGTTTTGATCAAGAGCATCGTGAATGGCAGATGGGACGGATCTTTCCAGAATCTTTTTCGGAAGATCTGGTTCAGCAGTTATTGGACGACCCAATCCAATTCCTTGGGTTGCTCCTGTTTTCACAGCATCTACCATCGCATTAACAGTTCTGAATCCTCCAGTAAGATAGACAACGGTGTTTTTGAAGACAGGACGAATCTGAATTATTAATAATTTGGAAAACATTAAAAATAAAATTGTATCTCACTTTCTCTGCAAACTCCAAAAAGAATGCTTCTCTCTGTCGTGTAGAATTTCTGATGTGCTGGAAAGCCAATTGCTCATAAGTTCCACCAGACAATTCGACAAAATCAAATCCAATCTTTTCATAGGCTTTGCACATTTCTACGGCATCATCGGCGGTTGTTCCTTCTGATTGAAACTCAACAGAATTCGTTTTTAAACCAACCAAGAAACCCGTGGATGCTGGAATTTCTTTTCGAATTGCTTCATAAATTTCAAGAATTATTCTTTGTCGATTAGCAATTGATCCTCCATACCGATCGGTTCTTTTGTTTGTGGTTGGAGAAGTAAATTGAGCAAGAAGGTATCCATGGGCTCCATGAAGTTCAACACCATCGAACCCAGTCTCGTATGCATATTTTGCAGCATAAACAAAACGGTCAATCACTTCAGTTTTAATTTGTTCCACAGTCAGTGGAATTGGTTTCCCGAATCCCAGAAAACGAACTTCCTTTTCCAGTTTTACATCCGATGCGGAGAATGGAGTCGTATTGACTGTAATTGGAGTTTGACGTCCTCCATGAGAAAGTTGAACAACGGCAAGTGCTCCATCCTGTTTGATTGTCTGAGCCCATTTTGTGTAGGCTTCACGACGAGCCGGAGTTTCACCTTCTTTGAAGATCATAGCATTTCCTGGAGCCTCAAGATGAACCTGAAATACATTCTTGAAAATAGTCCAAACTATGAAAACCCACCGGTGACACCTGGACGTTTCCAGTGAGGACCAATCCAAACTTTCCGTTTCCCCATTTATCATATACATTGAGAATTTCTTGAGTGGGAACTCCATTCACTTTTGGATTTGAATGATCGAAAACGGACAACATTTCGGTAAGAGCAGCTTTCAAAAAACGATTTTGGGCATACTTTCCACTTGGGAACTTCAAACGTTCCCCAAGAATTGCTTTTGCAGATTCAGGAGCAGCAATTGAAAAACGACGGACCATTTTGGAAAGTTAAAAAGTAGACAAAATTCAGTAGATGTTGAACTTAAGAATGACAAATTAAAAAGATCATCTAGTAGTTTAAATAGGAAGGGATGACTTTATGATCTGAGAGAACGAGAAAGATATCTGACGAAATAGGATGATATTATATGATAAGAAAAAGAGACCGCCGGTGTTTTGCTGACAATTCCCAAATTGTTCTTTGCTGTTAACATAGTTGAGCACAGTGTATTGAGGTTCTGAACGTGTTTTTTTTCACAGACTACCTACTCAATTCACTAGACTTCAGGAATTCCCGAAATGATTTTGTTTTGAAAAAAAAATCCAGCTTCAGGAATGAAACTGTTTTCCCGAAATCCGGAAAGAGGAATTCGGAATTTCGAGGTTTCCAATGGAAGGAAAAAATGTGTAGCTCAAAAACATATTTCTCGCGGCAGAGAATTCTTGCTGAACGTGTTTGTTGAAATGAAAAAAATCACGGAATCCTCTCATCTCTGCTAAACTTGTAGTCGTCTCTAAAGAATCTAAATTGTACCTGTCCTCCAAATTATTCAATATATTCGTGAACTCTCAGTCAACACAGAATGCCTCACTTCCTCAGCCATCACATGTGGATACCTTCCTTGCTTATGATCAGGTAACAACGATGTGGTTTCTCTAACTCCTGGTTTTCACTTGTCATGTTTTCATAACGGATGCTCTAGATACTTCTACAGTATCCATAATTGAAAATAATACTATGACAATCACGGCGAAAAAGCGTATAGTACCCAAAGAGCAAAACATTACTGTGGAAAGTAATAGTGATTGTGAGAGATCTTCGAATCGAGGTTACAAAATAGGAAAGTTTTGCAGTCTGTCCATTTGGATCTTCCTTCGTGCTAGCTAAAAGTTGCCAGCAACAACAGAAATGTCAGACCCCAATGAGAATCAACGCTTACTGTTCAGAAAAAGGAATATGTTGTCAAGAAGATTCAGAAGGCAGCGAATCATTATGTTATGACAAACGATTGCCATTGCTCGGGGAACCGAAGTGCAGTTCAGATTCAGATTGCATGCAGTTTGGAGCTGTTTGCAAAGCGAAGCACTGTTGTCCAAACTGTAGGTTCGCCTGGATGTTAGTTTCTAGCGGGATGTTTAATTTTTTAGTTCACTACATAACCAATGAACCTCTTCTTCTACGTCAGTAACTTTTCGTGTGTACCCGGAAAGCCAATCCCTCCCGGATTTCAATTCAGTTACTGTTCTGAGATATCTAATACAGTCGCCTATTTAGGAGTTGTTAACAGCTGTGGAGACATCCAGAACATTCACAAATATTCAAAATGTCGCAGAGATTCTGATTGTTATCCTGGTTACATTTGCGTACGGACCATTGACGAAGGAATGTGCTTCAAGAATCCAGAAGACTGTTCCAACTCCCCATACTATTACATAGCTGTTATGTCATGCTACCTTTCATTCGTCTTGATGCTACTTTACTTTTTCACAAGAGCCTGTTACGAACATCCTCTGAGAGTCAGCGCCAAGTCTCCAGTTCTCACACTTCAATTGTACAGTGTCATCAAAGAAGCTGAGCTTCAAGCATATGATATTTATGGAGGGGAGGAGCTGAGTAAAATGCAAATCGAGCACATTTCAAAGGAAGCTGCTCGTAAAGCATGGATCGAAAATGAGTAATCATCTAATGCACCTGCTTTGGAACATCTTTTGGTGAGATTTTGATACAGTTGGAAAGAAACTTAAAAACTTTTTTATTACAGAATTGGTTCGGGTACGTGGTCTAATGTTCAGAGGACGAGGAGACAGATGAAGAGGAGACTGCTAACGAATTGGAACCTGAATTTATTGAATAATCTAGAAAAGTGTCAAATTTTTTTCTGAAAACTGTTTTATCTTATACAAAATGTTATTTACATAAGTTTTAATAAACGTTTATTGCAATTATTGGAAAAAATATATTCATCGTAGAACCTGTAATAGAAGGGCCCCAACATTGTCAAGTTTGAGCTAATTTATCTTGGTACCAATAAAAGATAAAAAAAACCAACCTATATAAATTGACCCAAAAAATTGAAAGTTAGGGGGCTTTTCTATTAAATGTTTTACGGCATTTTATAATGAAACCTTCTCACTAAATTTATACTTGATTTTTTCAAAAAATTCGAATCTTTAAAAAATTGATGTTCACTGTCAGGTATTATCTAATCACACCATGTGCTTCTCATCTTATCCGTCTGTCGTTCTTAGCGTTCGTTCATTTATTGATGAGCTTTGCTGTTATGTATGTATCTGTGTGTGCAGATAGCCCAGGAGAGCCGCCCCCTTCGACACCGCGAAACTCTTTGGAGCACATTTGTTGTGTTACACAGTTAACCCAACACCTCCGTCGTCTCCACGGCGCAAGTGCTCTTTTTTCACAGGATCCCGGAGCTATCGTGAATTTTCAAGGCAGACGCAGACGTGTCCAGAAATCAGTTTGAATTGAATCGCAGTTCTGCGGCGGAAGGGAGAGAAAAGACATTTACAATGAGAAGATCCTCGGACAGAGAGATTTAGAAACGCAGATATACGAAGGACCCGACGAACCAAGGGGACCTTCTGTTTCCCGCAGGAAGATGATGATGAGCGGATGGCTGAATTCTCATTTTCACTATATCTACCTCAATTTCACTATCGATTTTTCTCTCTTTCTCTAGATGATATAACTTCCGAATCAATCAGATACCTTGAGATGATTAGTGCCTCTGATCTACGAACATCTTTTAAGCTAAGTGCAACACCTGTTCAATTTTTGAGTTGACTTGAGATACGAAGTGACGGAAGGATCTTGTAAAGTCCGAAAATATACGTAACGGACAAAGAAAACATCTGTGAAACAACTCTTTCTCCGACGATTATTCCATTTCCAAAACCCATCACATTCACAAATTATGAGGGCTCGTCGTTTGCTCTTTCTTCTTTCTCTTGAAGGCTTTCAAGATTCATTTCTTTTCACATTCGTGCTAAACTGTCTGCTCTATCAAACTGCTCAGTATTTCAAATTCTTAAAATACCTTCAAATGTTTTACATTTAGAATAGAAATATTGAACAGAGTAATCTTTAAAAGCCCTCTGAATCTAAATAGAAAAGATGAAGAGTTTCAAAGGAGTAGAATATCTGGACGCTCTTTTTATTCTTAGTGACCTCATTTTCAAAGAAGTTTTCAAAATTTCGAAAGATCGAATTTTCGCAAATTTTTGTTTCAGACGACGAATTTCGGTTTAAGCTAAGATCCACGCCTAGAAAAATTACGCAGTGTCAAATACATAGATCTAAATTTCAAACAAATCATCCCATCCCACCGTCTTTTTTTCTAGCCTGATTTTTTTTCGGTTTTCAGAAAAGGTATCCAGAAATTAAAACCGAATTCAAATTATAGTTACAATACAACATACGATGATTTAATTGACAGTTTTTCAGTAAACTTATTAGAACTACTAAACAATCCGAATGTGTGGTTCTGATTTCTGTTCACTGGAGTTTCTCAAATAATTAAAATCTGGTTTGTAAAAAAGGAATATACCGGTTTTTTGCCCATCTTGCTCAGTAACATGAACTGAACAGCTCACAACTAATGTTGCTAACAATCTACCGTATTTTTTCTCTTTGAAACCCACCGGATACGTTTACTTTGAGATCAGTCATCTCGGTTCTTTTAGAAGATATCAAAATTGTGTCAACTGATAAATGATTTATCATAATATGACCAATATTTCATCAGGTAGCACCAATTTGATATCTTTCGAAAGGTATTGAGATAATTGAGCTCAAAGTGAACTTTTTGAGTGGGCTTTTATTATAGAAAATACGGTAAATCTATTCTCAGAAAATGACTTTTGTTCTTTTTGAATTTGGTTAGTATCATTTAACATTCTATTCTCCTATTCCGTTCAAAAAGAAACGAACTCTTAGCCTCCTATCCAACTGCCATTTAACTTTTAAAACTCGTGGGAGGATGTTACCCGTTTTGCGGCAAAGTCCTCCGGACTCCCCGGGATCCCCCGCTCATTTCCCCCCTCATCACCACCCTTCGCCCCTTCATCAATCACTTCGAGCAACGGTGCTCTTCTTGTCTCGGTCTCATAAAATCTTTCGCTCTTTCACTTATCTCCTGCTAAACTTCAAGTTGTTGCCTACCAACAGGTTCTCTCTCCCCCTTATCTTTCTTGGTGTCCTTCTTTTGTTTTCGTTGTTCCATTGGGCTGAAAAACGATTGACCAAATTGCAACATTGAATTGTTTTCAGACTACGAAGCTGGCAATAAAGAGTATTATAACAAAATTGTAGTTATAAAAATCAAACGAATCGAAAGGTATCATTACCAGACCCTCAATCATGGAGGGCAACGAGAAGAAGGGGCTCCCACCGATCCAACAACGCCATCTGAACATTGGTACGACGGTCGGAGGAAGTATCTCACAGCCAGTCAGCCCATCGATGAGTTATTCAACTGGTAAGATTTTCAAAAAGTCTACAGAAACTCTCACGAAACTTCTAGAACTCGGAAATTCACTTTTATAATCTTCAAATTTTCAGATCGAGAAACCGTAATGAGAAGTGCTAGTGGCCACGCAACAGTCGCCGAAACTCATCTCATTCGCTCGATTGGATCACAGTCTCAATCTTATACAGAAGAACATTGGAGCTCAGAGATCACTAGTTTTGTTGCTTTGGCTCCTCCAAAATTCATTCAGGTTATCAAAGCATATCGAGTTCATTCCACTGATACAATCAGTTTGGTTGTGGAAGTAGCTAGTGATCCGCCAGCAATTTTTGAATGGTTCTGCAATGAGAAATCTGTTCTTCAAGTGAGTCATTTCGAGTACTGTGGCATACATTGAACACTATTTTTTTAGGATCGTAACCGTTTCCAAGTAGGACATGGTATCAATATCAGTCGTCTGAAAGTCAGTCAACCAGAACAAGGAGTCTACAAATGTGTGACAAGAAATCCCGCTGGTGTCAGCACAAGTTATGGGTACATTTCGGTGAATGGTAAGAATCTTCTTCCACCGAATTCTCATCTGATCCCTTGATTCCAGCTGACCGTGAACACTTGTCCTCTTCAAAAGAAGACATGCGTTTGCAACGTCAACATTCTGTAACCTACCATCAAGCTCCTCGATTCTTAACCCAAGTTCCAAACTTATTTGTAACTGCCGGAAGCAATGTAATCATTGATGTAGAAGTTGATGCAAATCCACCAGCAAGATTTTCTTGGTTTGTCAACGGGAAAGAGTACAGAGAAACAACAAATGGAGTCGAAATGTTCTCACCGGACGTCAATCGCAGCGTCGTCCGATTCTCAATTCCAGTGGCCGGAGAATACAAAGTGGTGGCTTCCAATGTTCATGGATCTGCAATGTCTTGTGGTCATGTTGATATTCAAAAAGGTGTGAAAGCTTATGGAATTTCGAAAAATTAAAATTTAAAAATTTAGTAGTTGAAATGGAAGAGTCATCTATCACGACATCTACAACTACATTTGATCCCATGACAACATCAATGAGAGCACTTGGAAATGCAGGAAGAAACTCCCGACAGGCAATCAATATGTTCGAATTGAACTACACCCAAAGATCAAGCAGCGTTCCGAGAGGTGTACGTCATATCGAATCACATATTGAAGTGTCCAACATGACGACAGAAGAGAAGAGACAACAACAACAATCGTCGAGATCTGGTTTGTTGTTTTGGTTTTGTTTTCAATTTATAATGGACATGGCTTAGTTCAGAGTGCTCTTTTGATTTCTTTTGAAGTCGTTTTTCTTACACATTTTCTTTGCCATGCATGCTTTTTTGTTACAGATGCAACCAGTATCGTCGAATCACGTTTCCACCAGAAACCACAACCACCGAAACCGCCTCGAGCGGGAACTTCGAGACGATTCCTTCCAGAACCACCGAAATTTGTGACGACGCTTCCACCGGTTATCACTGTCAATGCAGAAGAGAAACTGGTTTTATCAGTTGATGTGCATGCGATTCCAGCAGCTGAATTTACTTGGCATGTAAACGGATTTGAAATCAAGAAAAATCAAAATATCGTTTTGCTGAACGAGCATAACAAATCAACTCTTGTTCTCCATGCTCCGGTGAAACAAGGAAAATACAAAGTGACAGCAAGAAATGATGTAGGAAGTGAGTCAGTCACAACTCAAGTTCAGCGAATTGGAGAATTGGAAGACGGAGCAAGAGGATCGGAACCACCAGACATAGTTGAATCGGCTGTAACTGTGACTTGTTCGCATGATGAAGACGTTGGATCACACTCTTCACTTCAAACGGTTAGAAGAATGCAAGAAATGAAAGACGACGATGATCAGGATCCCATTAAACCATTCATTGAAGCAACAAGTCCAAGAATCAAGGAACCGTCAGAACATCCATTTGCCAATGTTCTCAACCCAAAGAAAAGAGAAGAACGACTGTCTCCCTCTGCAAAAGGAAAGCATCTTCCATTTGCTCCCAGAATCACAGCTCATCCATATGAATCTGTATTTAAGATTTTAGATGGGTCACCTTTGAAACTTCGGGTGATGGCTTCTTCTCTCCCACCTGCTACATTCCTTTGGATGCTCAACAATTTCGAGCTTCGAATGAACCAAAACATTACAATTCGAAATGACGAGGAAAATGTATCCGAGATCGAATTCCAAAAAGCACCAAGTGGAAATCTGACAGTCACTGCTAAAAATCATTTGGGAGAAGACCGATGGACTGGAAAAGTTATCGTTCAATATGAGAGTCCACCACCAGGTCAAAAGATTACAACAATCGAGAAAGTCACTGAATCATGGACACTTCAAGAAGCAGTTATTACTCAAGTGGTTCCAACCGCTGCTGATCCTGGAGACCGAATTGTAATAATTGTGAGATTCGATGAGAACAAAACTTCTAATTGTGAATTTAACTGGACTATCAATGGAGTGAACGTGGAAAGATTGGAAGAAAATTTGGTAGCAGTCGAATCGACAGAATATGAGTCGTCTCTGATTGTTGAAAGACTAGAAGAACGACTCTGTGGAGAAGTTGTGTGCGTAGTGAAAAACCAGCACGGCGAGGTGTTTTCCTCATCCGCTCACCTTAGAATCCGTGAGTCTTCATTTATTTTTCTAGCTAACATCTTCTCATTTTGTGTTCGATTCTCGCTTCAACATGTTTTGGCTTATTAAGAAAACTGTTAATTACTTTAAAGACTATCTAGATTCCATAAATTTTATAACAATTTGTTTTTCAGGTGACGACGATTCTTCATTCGAGATTGTTCCACCGAACCTTCCAGAAGAATCTGCTCCAAAGATTGTGGAGCCACTTCATTCTGCAAGTTTCCTTGACGGACAAGCAATGTCTCTTCGATGCAAAATCACTGCGAACCCATCAGCAGCTATTGTTTGGTCAAAGGATGATGTTAATGTAGACGACTGGGTTATCAATAAAGATGTGACGACGACAGTTTTGGAAGGAGGAGTTTGTGAGCTTCTGAATCCAGAATGCTTTGCTGAAGATGCTGGACTTTACAAATGCACTGCAACAAATCCACATGGAACTGCAGAAACAGCAGCATTCATCAATGTAGAAGGAGCTGAATACGTCAAAGATCGGGAAGAAGCAGAAATTTCGGAATCGGTTCTTACTGATGATGTTCATATCATTCTTCCACCCAAGTTCATTGAACTACTCACTGCAGAGACTGATAACTTCCAACAGCTGGGATATGTTCGATTGGTCGCCACTGTTCAATCTGTTGCACCAATCACCGTATCATGGCAGAAGGATGGATATGAAGTTTACGAAAACGAAAAGTATGAAGTAATGCAGTTCGCTGATGGAGGCCAGATTTTGACAATTCGTGAGCCAACTAACAATGACTCTGGAGTGTACACCTGCACAGCTGAATCCGAACATGGAGTCAGCAATAGCAGTTGTCAAGTTGAACTCAAAATCAGTGAAGAATCAAGTCCAGAAAGCTTTGAGAAGGTTGAAGTTTCTCCAGTTGAGGAAGTTAAAGAAACTGGAATCGACGATGATATTGAAGTTATTCTCAAAGAAGAAGTAAGCGGAACTGCTCAAATTGAAAAACGCGAAGAGGAGTTCAAGCTTCTTGTTAAAGTAGCTGATCAAGTGGCCAGTACTTTGGTGGCAAAAGTGTTTCTGGAGGCGGTTCATGAGGCTGTCAAAAAAATCGTCGAGACAGAAGACGTGAGTTTTTTGGTTCGCTATTGAAATACTGAAAATTTTTGTTCAGGAGGAAGAAGACAACCATGTTGAATCAACTCAAGAACCACGGTTTGAAACCAGTACAGATGAGTATCATGTTAAAGAAAATGGTACTATTAAGATGAGTGCCACAATCAGCGGACATCCGACTCCATTCCTAGAATGGTATTTTGGTGATCAGAAACTTCAATTATCAGAGTAAGCTTTTATCAGTTGACAAGTTATTTTTCAAATCTAACATTTAAAGGAATGTGGCCATGTCTTATGAAGCTGGAACATCTGCTATCATCTTGAAAAATGTCCAGATGCGTCAAGGAGGAACATACTACCTGATTGCTAAGAACTGCCACGGACAAGCTACTCTTCCAATGAAGCTTACAGTTGATGCAGTCGGTAAGTCAAATTAGATTATTTATTATTGTACTTTTGAACTTTCCAGAGACTGTCACTCATGTTCTCGAAACTTCTGTACCTCAAGTCAGCGTTGATCAAGACGCTCGTTTGAAGAAACAAGAGGAAGAACTACGAAGGGCAGCTGAAAAAGTATCAGAACAATTTGCACAACTTTGGATTCAAGATGCTCAAACGGAAGCTGTGAACGCACAAACACAACAAGATGTTCCTGTGACTTCACAAAAAATCGTCCAACAGGAAATTGTTACATCGAAGACCGTTCAAGAACTTCAAGAAGTATCACAAGAACCAGTTCCTGAGAGTCCAAAAGTCGAGGAGACCGTGGAAGAACGCGTCGAGATTGTTGCTGAGCAAGAACACAAAGAAGAAGCTCAAATCCTAGAACAACTCCCAGTTGAAGAACATAAGAAGACACCACCAAGAACATATAGTCCGATGAATTATGAAGAGAAAGTCAAAACAATTGAATCGAATCTTCTCCGAGTCAGTTCGCAAGAGACGTTGGAACCAATCGAGGCAACTAACATGCTTCTGAACACTGCTTTGCAGTTAAAGGTGAGTGATTTTCTTTTTCTAGAGTAATTAATTTACCTATACTTCAGAACGAACATGTGTGCGATGAAACTACCACTGTTGTTGTCACCCAACAACCACAGAAATTCGATCAGTTGATTACTGTCATCGAGTCGAACATTGAACACCACGCCCTTCGGCTCAGCACAACTTCATCGTCACCTCTAAAGTTTATTGATTTGGAAACAATAATTCAAAAACCAAGCACATCATGCGAGAGCATAGATAGAATGTTCGTGGAAAAGTCGAAAAGAACAGCTAATGCTCAACACAGAATCGTAGTTCTTCAAGGAATGTCCAATACCTTCCACAATGCAATCACGTGGAGTTTGAAGAAAGTCAAGAAGCTTGTTGGAGATGCTGAAGCCAAGGCTTATGCCGATGTCGAAGTTGTGAAACAAGATGAAAAAAATGAGCAAGTGATGACTATTATTGACAATGACACAATCGTTCCTCAACTTTTGCAAGTGGCAGCAGCAGCCAATAAACTCAAGTTGGAGAACGTCAGTGTTGCTTTGGTCAGAGATGGTGATCGTGCTCATCAAGAACTTGTAATCGAATATGAGAGTTCAATCGATGAGCCAATGATTGAACCACTTCATAACACTTCTCATTTGACATTCCATCAACAACAACCAACTGGACCAGATCAACATGTATGGTTAAGAAGATCGAAATATGATGAGGACGAGGCTCATGTTGTTGCTGTTTTTGTTGAAGTTGATGCTAATTGTCCAGATCAGTCTGTAGAGATAGTTGCCACTGTGAACGCAGCATATGAAGGTGATAGTCGGCAAGGACGAGAAGAAGAACAGCTAACTGAAGTTAGCCAATCCTTAGCAACAGAATCTAGTGCAGCTCCACAAGCACCGAAATTCTTGAGGAAACTTGTGAATTGTTTTGGTAGAATAGGAGAGCCAGTTCAGATGAAATGTCTTATAGCTGGAATGCCACAACCAGAAATTGAATGGACTGTTGATGGAGACCCAATTGTTCCCAATGAGTAAGTCATATTTTAGAATTTGAGTTTACATAAACATTAAAATCTTCCAGCGAATACAATATTGTCTATGAAGACGGAGTTTGTATTCTTCGAATAGAATCTACACTAATCGAAGATGAAGGAGAATACTGCTGTACTGCAAGCAACGTAGCCGGAACTGCATTCAGCAAATGTTATCTGAAATTGTCAGGTTAGTTTATTCATTATTTTCAACATTGATTTGTACATTTATTATTAGTTTCTGTATGATTCAAGTTCTACAAAAATCTTTTTGAAAATTCGAACTCTGAAAAATACAGTCGAGAATAATAGCACTTTCCATTGCACACACACTCTGGGCTCTAAATTTATAGAAATTCTTTTTTGTGTTTTGGAGAGTGAGTAAGACAAAATTTCAAAATGAGGCGCAATCGGTATCATTCTCTTTTATCCAATTGACATTTTTATCATCATCTTCTCATCCATCCATCCATCATATCTTATGACTTCTTGGTATTTTTGCTTGCACTACCCTGAATGGTTTCCTATATTCTTTATTCTTCATCTATACCTTTTTCCTATCCTTATAAAAATAACTTTCCATAACTTTTCTTCCAAGGTGGCCGCTACGAGTGCACTTCGTTTTGGTCTTGCTCTCTCCCTAAAGACAAAAGGGATTTCTGAATGTTTTATTGCTCCGCGCCTCCCGGAGTGTGCTCGTGGTGGTGGCCGTGCACGTTGTACATTTGTCTGTTGCATGATTGTTTTCTTAACATGTTTTTGAATTTCTTCAGAAGCGGAAGACGATGCTGTCGATCTTCTTCGTCAGCTGTCAGAGATCAAAATTATCGATCCAACAACTTCAACTGGCTATCCAATGAGTTTCATATCCGATGAGGAGAATACAAGTCATCAACTTCTGTCAAATGTGTTGCTCACTGATAAGGAAGTTCCAGTTACGGCAACATACAATGAAGACTTGTCGAGAGCAGAATCATTCAGAAGATTCTATGAATCTGCTGAAACTACTGTTAAAGTAACCGAACTATTCCGAGGAGAAAGTGTAGAAGCTCAGTTTCAACAACCCGAAAAAAAGGAACAAGTGTCCACAAGTAACACAGATGTTATGTTCGTCAATCAGAAGGTGGATGTGATGGCATCTACTGTGTCTACAGTAGGAAATGCGGTTCGACAGTCAGTTTCCAGTTCAACCAACTCTTGGGATTACATGTTCAACGATCCATTCCCAGATAGTGAAGATATGAGTGTGAATGAAAATGAGTTGTACGAGCCGAGAATACCTCTTCTTCCACAAAAACTATCCTATAAAGGTCAGGAGATCTTCGCAAACACCAACACTGTGGAACGAAACAAGAACAGTGGAAAGAGTGGAGAAGTCGAGAATCTGAAAAAATGTGTGGAGACTCTGCTTCAATTTGATGCTGAAATGAATATAAAGCATATCAAAGAGAGTTCTCCGAAGAAGGAAACAACGACGAAGAGAGATCATCTTATTGAGGAGCAGATTAAAGCAACGAATAAGATACTGAAGGAAGTGGAACGTGATCTCGACGAGATGCAAATAGTGGATAAATTAAGTCCCAGCAAAAGTCACAGCCCGAGCAAGAGGACATATGAACCGAAAGATGTGGAAGATATTGAAGCTGCAATTTTCAGTATCTCCGATCAACTCGCTGAAAAAGATTCAAGTGAGGAAGCACTCCGTGAAGCTCTTCAAGAAATGATTCTCAGTAAAACGAGCCCATTGAAAGAGCTATCTCCAAAATTTGAGAAAGATAAACTTGAAGTGCAAAAGATGCCAAAAACGGAAACAGTAGTTGCTGAAGTTCATCCAATTGTGAAACTGAAACAGGCGATTTCAGCAATTGAAAATAGTTTGCTGGAAGACACAGAAGTGACCGAAATCATGAAAAGAAAAGGAAATGATAAAGATAAACGAAAAGCGACCAGAATTAAGAGAGTCCCAAGTGCTCATTCGGCGAGAATCACTCCAATAACTACAAATCTGAGGGATCGTCTCAATCAACTTCATCAATTGACGGTTTCTGAGGATTCAGCTTCTTCTAAACAAAATGAAGAAGCGAAAGAAATTCAAGAACTTTTTGTGAAAATAGAGAAAGAGATCAATACTATCGCTGAATTGTGTAAGGAGAAGATGACGAAGCAAGCCGCCGAGACAGTTGCCCACGTGCTCAATTCAGTACTTCAACATGTTGCGAGCATTATCAATGTCATATTGGTAGCACAGGACCTTCAACCCATTGAAGCTCATTCACAACCATCCAACACTGAAGAGGTGACTGTGTGGTATAGTTTTGATGTTCATCCTGAATCTGAAGATATCATTGGAATTGTTGATGAGGAACCAACTAATAGGCGCCCCTCATCTACTCCAAGAGGATCCACAAGAAGTAGCAAGTTAACAGCTTCTCAAGATTCAGAAGGGACCATGAAAATGACAATTTCTAGTGAAGATACCATTGAAGCACCTGTTGCGCCACCTAGAAAAGGAAGATTACTTTCTAGAGATGCTGAGAGAATTTTGGATCAACAGCCTCAAGCACCACCAAGAAGAAGTCGGCAATCAGGAGACACATTATCTCCAGAACCAATATCACGTTCCAAGTTAGAGAAAGAGGTTGAAACTGCTGCACCTGTCAGGCCTCCAAGAAGCAGGAGCAGAGCATCGGGAGATGAATTATCACCGGAACCAGCTCCAATTCGTCCTCCACGATCTAGAAGTCGCCATTCCGGCGATGAGTTGGACGAGCTTGCCAAAGAAGATAAACCAGTCCGTCCACCCAGAAGCAAAAGCAAAACATCCGAGGTTCCACGACTCCCAATTACGGATAGTATGGATGAGTCTTCGCTGAGTTGCATTCACATCCAGAAAACCAATTTCGCCTTCACCAATTCAACACATGAAAGTGATAATGCTGCTGTTATCATTGATCTCCGAAATATGGCTCAAATGGAATGTACTGTTCAAACTCTCGATGATCTTGCCTCGATTCAAATGCTTTGTGAAGAATCGGATTATCCATCTGACACTGACCGATCATTATTATTAGCGGGAACTGTCAGATACTTCAATCGTGCAAGTCCTTCTCTACAGGAAGTTTCTCCTTCTCTTAACATTGAATCCGTATCAATGGATTTGAAATATGAACCTGAAGAAGAGAATATTCAAGATGTTTATGTAAACGTGGAACTTCATTCTGTCCCTTCACTCACCTCTCTGATTGAAGTGAATCCAAACACCCTTCTGCACACCAATGCATCTGAAAAATCTTCCACCAATGCTGCTGATAACGAGGAAGAAGTGACTACGGAATTGTCGTTTATCGGAAGATCAGTCATGTCTACAGAAACTTTGGATGTTGTATTGGAAGAAAAAGATATGAGCCAGATGAATTCGACTCTCCCATTGGATTATGAACGCCCATTTTCATCCAATACAATTCTGGAAACCGATATTTTAAGTGATGAAAGCGTCACAATTGAATCTTCCTATCAAAAAAGTCTAGAGCCAACCAGAGAAATTCCAAGAATCGATATCCAACCTGAAGAAGTTACTGAAAACTTTTCACTGACTCATAAACCCGCAAGAAGAAGAGTCACTGGAATTGTTGTCAACTCTCTGATCTTCACCATATCTGCATCCATCGCTGCTGATAACACCTTCGATGTAGACGTTGTTCAGGAACCACAACGATATAACATTTCCATAAAAGTGATCGAAGACATCGTTGATTTCACATCATTGACAATAATGTCAGACTGTGAAGAAGATTTCCCAGCTGACGTTCTTGTCATTCCTCAAGATTCTTCAAAACTCCGAGCACTGTCTTATGATGATGTCAGCATTGCTACCACCAGAACTGGAATCACAGTATCGATTGTTGCCAGAAGTTTGAATGATGGAATATATGCATCCCTGGAAGAGATCGCATGGGGCGAAGTGGAAATGACTGTACCAGATATAATGCAAATGAGTACCGAAGAAAAGAGTTCCCTTCAGTTCAATGTGACGGTTTCTGAATCAAATCTGGAAGAAGCCAAGTCACTGAAATCGCAAATGTCGTTCAGAAGTTCTCAGAATTCTGTATCCGAGATTGAAAACACAATGAGTTCGACTGGAACAATCAGTATTCCAAGTTATGTTGTCAAATTGGAGTCTACTGCCACTATCACATGTGAACTCAACAATTATCTTCCGAAGAATTGTACCATCGACTGGTATTGTGGAAAGACGAAAGTGATTATTGATAACGAACAATTCGATCGCATCAGCCATGATCTTCTCGAAGTACTCATCATCCGAAGTGTTGAACCGATCAATGGAAACTTGTATAGTTTGAAAATCAATGAAGATCTATTTCCAGTCGCCTATCTCATTGTCGAAAATACTAATTTGACAACGTCTGCAAATATATTAACCCGTCCGGAGACTCAATTCGTTATGGAAGGACAACCAACAATTCTTACTGTCGAAGTTGATGAGCCAAGCGTTGTTGTGAATTGGTTGAAAGATCGGAGACCATTGCATGAGAGCGAGAGGATCAAGATTGAAACTGATGGACAAGGGAATCATCGAGTGGTGATTCCAAATACAAATGTTGGTGATCAAGGAACTTATTTGGCATTGACGTCGTCTCAAAGTGTTGCGATCACTTTGGTAGTTGAAGGTAATGAAACAATTAGATTAGAAGAGAAGAAGTATAGAATGGTTGTGTTTTAGATAACTTTGTTTTCATGAGCAATTTTTAAATGTTTCAAATTCCATCCTCTTCTCTTTCGATAACCCTTCTTTAACACTCAAGCCCATCTTTTTGCAGAAAGAATAGATGAAAAAGAAGTGACTGTGGTTGCATCTGGAACTGAAAGTGAAGATGATGACGTTCAGGAGTATCTGGTTCCACCTGGAAGTACGGCTACAATTGCTTGTGAACTCGAAAAATGCGAATTGAAACGGTCGATCCGTTGGATGCGAGACGGAAAGGACATTCGGTTCGAAGCCGGGAAAGTGGAGCACGTTCAAAATGGGTTAAAGCATTACTTGGTGGTCCATGATGCTACAAGTGTTGACAGTGGATTGTATAGTGTGTGCATTTCAAATGTTGAATTCCGTGTTGCCCATTTATGTGTCAATAGTTTGACTTCTACTTTACATGCTCTTAAGAGAAAGCGTATTTCTAACAATTCTCTTCATAATTAATTTATATTCCTTCTTCACCACTTGATCTTCCTCATCTTATTTTTCCTTTCGATTCCAGGTATCATCATTCTCATCCTCATTTCAAATAGAACATTGATATCGATTCCGCTGCTCATATATTTTTTATTTCCTATGAAAATTTTATTTGAAAAAAAATGAAACGAAGATTTTTAGCCAGTGTGCAATGGAAATGCTGGGAAATGATTGTATTAAAATGTAATGATCTGAAAACGTTGTTGAATTATTTTAGAAACAGAGCAATCTGAAGAACAATGCGAGGAGACCGTCATTCCTCGCGGAGTTGTTGCAACCATTCAATGTCAAACTTCTGAACCACGGGAGTCGATTCAGTGGTGCAAGGTGATCTGGAAAATATAACAAAATCTAGATTAGTGCACAGATTAGATTAATAGCAGATGAAAAGCACATGATGTTTTAAAGCCACTGAAATTCAAGTTGCAAATCAGCCACCTCACACATCGTACTTGCTCTTTGAGCAGCCCACCCAAATCGTCAACATTAAGCTTAATCATCTCAATTCCTATGTAAGATATCAAAAATTTGTCATGTGATACATTGTTTATCGTAATATTATCAGTGTTTTATCATTTAACAAATTTTTGATATCTTTGACCGAGATAATTGAGCTCAAAGTTGGCAGTTTCGGTAGGCTTTTATTAGAACCAATACGGTAATTCTATCGTTAACACTTCAATTTTCGGCATTCGCTACAAAAATGGAAATTGGACTACAACTTTGAAAATTGAAATCTTCAGAAATAGAATTATGAAAAGTTTCCAACTAAAACAACTTCCGTACGAATTCAACAAGACACTGACCGAACAAAAATTTAAAAAAATACATCGAACACAAGAAGTTGTGAGGCCAACCATATTCATGTAAAATCTTTTGTTAAATATTGGCACAAGCCAAACAACCTAATAGAAGGGCCAGCTAAATTTTGAATTTGAGCCAATTTTTCTCTTTTTATGTAAAAGATATGAAAAAAGTTAACTGATGAATTGATTACCATAAATGTTTTTTTCAGTTGACACATTTTTGATATCTTGCCCAACAGCCAAGTTAAAATAGCTTAAACTTGACAATGTGGATGCATTTTCACTCAGTTCTGAAACGCAAGTAACTTTTTGTAGGACGGCACAGCTATTCCATCAGACATTTCTCGATTCGAATTCCGATCGCTGGATAACAACCAAAGCCATGAGATGGTAATATCAAATATTTCTTGGTCAGATGCTGGTGTTTATTCTGTTATCATTAATGGAAAGAACTCATTCGTTTCTAAAATTGTTGTCGTTGGTATGACCTAGTTAATCAAGAATTTTATCACAAAAAAAGCATTACAGAAAGTGAATTGATCACTCAATCGGTTGAAGAAGAAATCGAACCAGAAATTGATGTATCTCTCCATGTTTTAGAATCAGAACGAATTGTTGAATCGAATGTTCCTCAGTCTCCAAAGCTAGATGCCTCTCATGAAACTTTGATTCCAGCCATTGTCGATACACAAGAAGCAGTGCCTGTTGTTCCAGCGGTGGAGAAATCAACTTCGAGAGAATCGGAGGAGTTCGAGATTATCGAGAAACTTCCAGAGAAAGCAGCACCTTTGGAAGAGGTTCTCGGAAGTCAAGAAACTGAGAAAACATCGAAAGACGATGTGATGGTAGAGAGCTTTGAGGTTCTAGAGACAGCAGCAGTCGCAGAGCCAATCGAAGACAAACCAAAAGTTGAAGAAACTGTTCTGGAAACAGAACAACAGACAACAGAAGAAGAACTTGGACCAGTTCAAGAGAATATTCCAGAACAAGCAGCGGTTATGGAACAGTTCGAAAACCAACCAACAGAGAAAGTGACAGAGGGAGCAGCAACTCTGGAACAAGATAAAAAAGAAGAACAAATTGTTCAGACAACCGACTCCGCAGATGCAGCAATTGTGGAAACGTTTGAACAAAATATTGATAAACCAAAGGAGGAACAAGTGAAACCACATGAAATTCCGGAACCAGCAGTACTTCTGGAATCTTCTAAGCCATCAAATGAAAACCTCCCTCAAGACGAAGCTCCGAGAGCCGAAGATCAGAAGGTCGACCTTCCCAAAATTATTCTTCCAGAAGAAGCAGCACTTCCGGAAGAGACAACACACGAAGAAATCGAAGTTGAAGCAACGTTTGAAATTGTGGAACAGCAAGTAGAACATACCGTTTCTACAAAAGGTGATTACGAACAATCTCGAGAGGAACCAGAAGACGCAGAAAGTGAAGGCCGTGAAGCTGCTTCGGAAATCGCTCATTTGGCTATTGACGAAGCAGTGATAGAAGCATCAAAGACCCAAAAAGAAGATGTGGATGTTTCAAAGACAACTGATGGTCAAGTACGAAGTGTTAGTGTTGATTTGACATTCAGTCGGGAGGCAGAGCAAATTATTTCGGACGTCATCGTTGCGGAAGTTGGTTATGATGAAGATGGTGAGAGAAAGTTCTATTCCTTATTTTAGCAATATCCTTTTTTCAGAATGTTCCACTATCGCCGACACCATCACATCTCTCTCATCGAGCCCGTTGTATACTGCTCCAGTGTTTACTGGTAGACTTCCATCTTCAGCATGTTTCACGCATGATAAACTGATGTTGGAAGTTGTTTTTAGTGGTGTTCCACAGCCAACAATATCCTGGTTGTTAGATGATCATGAGCTAATTTCCGATGGGTTCGTTTGGCTGATATGAAATACAAAAGTCATGATGTTCTCATATTTTCAGAGAGCGAATCCTAATCAAGTGTGAAAATGGAATCAGTTCGATTCGGTTCTTCAACGTTGACAAAAATGCTGGCGGAACATTGAAATGTCGAGCAACAAACTGTGCAGGACAAGTGGAAACGATCTGTGAGATCATTGCAGCTGATGAAATATCAGGCATCAGTGATTCATCAATGACATCTTCTATGCGACCTCATTTCGTAGTCCCACTTCCCGAGAGCTTGATCCACACCGTCAATGATCATATTATCATCAAGTGTAAATTCACTGGACAACCATTGCCGGCAGCGATGTGGGAGAAGGATGGAGTATTGTTGGATTTACAGTGAGTTTAACATTTTTTCATTAAAGTATATTTCATTAAATATTTTCAGAAAATATCAAATCACAACTGAAGACGGAATAAGTATTCTGAAAATCGAAAATGCAACATTAGAAGACAAGGCTACGTACACCTGCACAATCGCCAATGAAGCCGGATGTGAATCCACCAGCTGTCGAATCGATATAGTGGATGATCATTTGGGAACGGAAAGAACTGGATTGCATGTGATGTGTGAGAGAGATCAAAATGATGTGGAGCTGGATATTCTTGTGCAATCGCCGAACCATCTCGGAGTTTCATTTACTTTCCCTCCAGTTAACAGAACTTTGGCTCGCCAACCTCCATATTTCCTACTGCCACTAGCTGATAAAATTGTCACTGATGATAAATGCACATTAAAATGTGTGGTTATGGGTATTCCACTGGTGATTGTGAAATGGATGATAGACGAAAAAGTTGTGCAGGAAGATGAGTATGTTTTTGATTAAAAAAAATAGGTGCTTATAATATTGAACATTCAGAAATCATGAAATTCACTTCGAAGATGGAATTGCACTGCTGCGACTGAAAAACATGAAGAGCGACGGAGTTTCTGTGAAATGTGAAGCTACAAACTGTAAAGGAAAAGTCACAACAAGTTGCGTGTTATCGAAAGGATTGCTAGACGAGAGTGAAATTGGAGATCTACAAAAACCGAGCTTCGTTCTACCACTGAAGGTATGTCTAGCGAAAATCCAAGATAAAATGATAATCGTAAAGTTTAGGATTGTTTCACAACTGATGATCATGCCACCCTGAAATGCATCGTCATGGGAACACCACTCCCAGATGTGAAATGCTCTTTTGATGGAATGTCTGACGAATCTAAGTAAGTTCCCGAATCAGACAGCAAAGTTAAACGTTAACATTCAGAATACGATCCGAAGATGGAATCGTTCTAATTGAAGTTTCAAATGTTACCGAGAAGGGAGTCGTTGTGGAATGCGAAATTTCCAACGGAAAAGGCACAATTTCTTCAAAATGTGTTGTTCGAAAAGTGAAGCAAGAGCAGAAAAATTATCAAAGACCAGTTTTTGTCTTCAATCAAGCCGGATCCGTCAGTAATGATCGAGAACTATCGGTAAAAGTTGGAGTGATTGCTTCTCCGGAACCCACTCTGTTCTGGAAGCACAATGGGTCAACGATAGAAGAAGGAGGAGATTATTATATGATTTGCGAAGATGGTATTGGTATTCTGAAAGTATTCAATATCGAAGATGGATCTCATGAGTTTACGTGTATAGTGGAAAATCAATACGGACAGGCAATATCCACAATACCAGTGGAAGTGGGTACGAAGACGGATGAAAAATTGGCACTTGTGAAAAGTTTGAATGTAAGTATAATTTTTAGGTTTTCGAAAAATATGGTACAAACAAAAACTATAATATTGAACACTTACAGGATTTAATCGTTGTGGATGACCTCGTACAACTGAAAATTGTAGCTGAAGGAAGTCTTCCTGTAAATTTCCACTGGTTCGAAGATGACATCCTTTTGGAGAATGACAACAATCATAGAATCACAATCGATGGCTCAGTTTCTACGTTACAGCTTAGAACCGAAGTGATTGGAACTCAGAAAATCAGATGTGAAATTTTCAACGATGTCGAAAAAGTAGAAACTGCATGTATCGTGGAACGAATTCACAATACAATTTCTGATTTCGTTCTTACGGACTCCGGGTGAGTTGATATACATGAACTGAAATATCAAAAATTGAATTCAGCTCCCAACATTTCCTCACGGTCGGAAAACAAATTGATGGAGATCAAAACCAGTCGATTTTGAAAGCAGTAGTTATCTCTCAAGAAGAAGCAAAAACGATTTGTGATATCAACGGTGAAACAATGTAAGACAGTCTTAAAAATTAACCAAAAAAAAGAAGAGAAATTTTCAGCCCGGACGAATATTTGGAAGATAATTCTATTTCGATTCAACTGGATCAAATTCCGAAAGACAGGACACAGTTGACCTTCCATGTTGCTGATGCTAGCGGTACGGTGCGAGAAACAAGATCGGTGAATATTGGCTTCGAGAGCGACGGAGAAGAAGAAGAAGAAAACTTCAACGTCAACTACTCACTAAGAGTTGACACACAAAATGCAAACACTGTTTGCATATATGTCAGATCTGAAGAAAACACATGCGCACCGGCCGAGAGTCAAAAAAAGAAGGAAAAAGAAAACTACACTTCTTCCATCGACGTAGAACCGATAGAAACTTCCCACAAACAAGAAGAAGCTGTCGAAAATGTTTTGGTAACAGGAAAACTGGTTGAAAAAAAGGCAGTTGATTCTGCTCTATTAGAACAGAAGGCTGCTCCAGTTGAAGCTGCTCCAGCCGAAGAGAAACCAGTTGAAGTTCCTCCAGTCGAAGAGAAACCAGTCGAGGCTGCTCCAGTGGAGGTTGCTCCAGTCGAACAGAAACCAGTGGAAACTGCTCCACTTGAAAAGAAACCAGCTGAGGCTGCTCCTGTTGAGGCTGCTCCAGTTGAGGCTCCTCCAGTCGAAGAGAAACAAGATGAAGCAACTCTAGCAGAGGCTGCTCCAGTCGAGGAGAAACCAGTCGAGGCTGCTTCAGTTGAGGCTGCTCCAGTCAAAGAAAAACCAGTTGAAGATACTCCAGCTGAGGTTGCTCCGGTGGAAGAGAAACCATTCGAGGCTACTCCAGTCGAACAGAAACCAGTTGAAGATTCTCCAGCTGAGGTTGCTCCAGTCGAAAAAAAACCAGTAGAGGCTGCTCCAGCTGAGGCTGCTACAGTCAAAGAGAAATCAGAAGAAAGAAAAGAAGCTGATTCTGAAATCAAGAAAATCGAAAAACCTCTTCTCACTGATGTCGAAGTGGAGCTCGTATTCTCGAAGGCTGACATTTTCTGCGGATTGGAACTGGATTTGTTGATGGAATCTTCAGAATTTATCGAAGGAAATATTTCACGTATCCCACAGATCTCAGTAACTGAAGAGAAACCGGTTGAAGCTGCTCCAGTCAAAAGAAACCAGTCGAGGCTGCTCCAGTTGAAGCTGCTCCAGTTGAAGAGGAACCAGTCGAGGCTGCTCCAGTTGAAGCTGCTCCAGTCAAAGAGAAACCAGTCGAGGCTGCTCCAGTTGAAGCTGCTCCAGTCGAAGAGAAACCAGTCGAGGCTGCTCCAGTTGAAGAGAAACCAGTGGAGGCTGCTCCAGTTGAAGAGAAACCAGTCGAGGCTGCGCCAGTTGAAGCTGCTCCAGTCGAAGAGAAACCAGTCGAGGCTGCTCTAGTTGAAGCTGCTCCAGTCGAAGAGAAACCAGTTGAAGATGCTCCAGTTGAAGCTGCTCCAGTCAAAGAGAAACCAGTGGAGGCTGCTCCAGTTGAAGATAAACCAGTCGAAGCTGCTCCAGTCGAAGAGGAACCAGTGGAAGCTGCTCCAGTCGAAGAGGAACCAGTGGAAGCTGCTCCAGTCGAAGATAAACCAGTCGAGGCTGCTCCAGTTGAAGCTGCTCCAGTCGAAGAGAAACCAGTTGAAGATGCTCCAGTTGAAGCTGCTCCAGTCAAAGAGAAACCAGTGGAGGCTGCTCCAGTTGAAGAGAAACCAGTCGAGGCTGCTCCAGTTGAAGCTGCTCCAGTCGAAAAGAAACCAGTCGAGGCTGCTCCAGTTGAAGCTGCTCCAGTCGAAAAGAAACCAGTTGAAGATGCTCCAGTTGAAGCTGCTCCAGTTGAAGAGAAACCAGTCGAGGCTGCTCCAGTCGAAGAGAAACCAGTGGAGGCTGCTCCAGTTGAAGCTGCTCCAGTCGAAGAGAAACCAGTCGAGGCTGCTCCAGTCGAAGAGAAACCAGTGGAGGCTGCTCCAGTTGAAGCTGCTCCAGTCAAAGAGAAACCAGTCGAGGCTGCGCCAGTTGAAGCTGCTCCAGTCGAAGAGAAACCAGTCGAGGCTGCTCCAGTTGAAGCTGCTCCTCCAGTCGAAAAGAAACCAGTCGAGGCTGCTCCAGTTGAAGCTGCTCCAGTCGAAGAGAAACCAGTCGAGGCTGCTCCAGTTGAAGCTGCTCCAGTCGAAGAGAAACTAGTTGAAGATGCTCCAGTTGAAGCTGCTCCAGTCAAAGAGAAACCAGTCGAGGCTGCTCCAGTTGAAGCTGCTCCAGTTGAAGAGAAACCAGTCGAGGCTGCTCCAGTCGAAGAGAAACCAGTGGAGGCTGCGCCAGTTGAAGCTGCTCCAGTCGAAGAGAAACCAGTCGAGGCTGCTCCAGTTGAAGCTGCTCCAGTCGAAGAGAAACCAGTTGACGATGCTCCAGTTGAAGCTGCTCCAGTCAAAGAGAAACCAGTCGAGGCTGCTCCAGTTGAAGCTGCTCCAGTTGAAGAGAAACCAGTCGAGGCTGCTCCAGTTGAAGCTGCTCCAGTCGAAGAGAAACCAGTCGAGGCTGCTCCAGTTGAAGCTGCTCCAGTCGAAGAGAAACCAGTTGAAGATGCTCCAGTTGAAGCTGCTCCAGTCAAAGAGAAACCAGTCGAGGCTGCTCCAGTTGAAGCTGCTCCAGTTGAAGAGAAACCAGTCGAGGCTGCGCCAGTTGAAGCTGCTCCAGTCGAAGAGAAACCAGTCGAGGCTGCTCCAGTTGAAGCTGCTCCAGTCGAAGAGAAACCAGTTGAAGATGCTCCAGTTGAAGCTGCTCCAGTCAAAGAGAAACCAGTCGAGGCTGCTCCAGTTGAAGCTGCTCCAGTTGAAAAGAAACCAGTCGAGGCTGCTCCAGTTGAAGCTGCTCCAGTTGAAGAGAAACCAGTCGAGGCTGCTCCAGTTGAAGCTCCTCCAGTCGAACGGAAACCGGACGAAAGAAAAGAAGCTGATTCTGAAATCAAGAAAATCGTAAAACCTCTTCTCACTGATGTCGAAGTGGAGCTCGTATTCTCGAAGGCTGAAACTT